TCTGTATTTGTTCCCATATTCTTCAGAAGCTTCTTTGATGCTGACTGAGCAAGGAACTGATTTGTGCTTGTAACAGAATGTTATTAGGAGTCATTGTATCACTACAACTTTTTTAGACCAGTAGTATTTGGTTTTATCCTAAGTCCCTTGGGTATCGATCTATCCAGTCTCTGGTTCTTGGTCACTCGAGCAGTGTCAGGTTTGGGCTCCATCTCATGGAGTGGGCCTTATGTCAAATCAGATATTGGTTGGAGACTCCCACAAGGTTTGTGCCACCATTGCTCTAGCATTATTGTTGCAGACGGGACACCATCGTAGATCGAAGGGTTTGTGGCTGGCTTGATGTTTACGTTTCTCTTTTGGGAGAATGCAGACTATCTTCCTGTACCAAAGACACTAGCATGTAGAGATGAAGGCTCTCTGTAGGCACCAGCTCGAACTCTCTATGTCCAATGAGTTGGGCAGGTATTGTCTTCAACAATGGGGCCTTGCTGTCAGCTTATGGAGAGCAACTTATTGTCTTGGCAATAGCCTGGATTGTTTGGGGATTCCCATGGGCCACCTTTGGCCAATAGCTCATATTAGGGATCCCAATCCCAGCACTGGAAGCTTCATTTGGTGACAAAGAGATGTCCTGTTGAGATTCTGTCTCCCCATCATTTGGGGATCACTATATATATCACTATATATATATATATATATATATATATATATATATATATATATATATATATTTAGATTACATATATATATGAATGTAATCTAAATGAAATATCTCTCTCTCTCTCTCTCTCTCTCTCTCTCTGTGTGTGTGTGTGTGTGTGTGTGTGTGTGTGTGTATTTAGGAAGCTTTCTACTGTATTAAGTTTCCATACTATCCTTCAAATTGTTCTTAATTTTATCTCTTTCTGTAGTCTCATTCTCAATCCCCTCTCTCCTTCCCCTCCTCACCTTATCCTCCTATTCCAGCCCCCCCATATCCAATCATACTTATCTATTCTATTTCCCCTTTTTTTTAAAACAAGTATCTGTGCCCTCTAGCCCCTTACTCTATACCTACTCTCTGTGGTTCTACAGATTGTAGCTTGGTTATCATTGACTTAACAGCTAATACCTACATATAAGCAAATACTTACCAGAATTGTCTTTCTAAGTCTGGGATACCTCACTCAGGATGACTTTTTTTTTCTAGTTCTGTCAATTAGCCTGCAAATTCCATGATGTAATTTTTTTAACGGCTAAGTAATACTCCATTGTGTAAATGCACCACATTTTCTTCATCCATTCATCTATCAAGGGACATCTAGGTTGTTTCCACTTTCTGGCTATTATGAATAAGGCAGTAATGAACATGGTTGAGTAAGTGTCTTTGCAATAAGATGAAGCATCCTTTGGGTATATGCCCAAGAGTTACCACTGGTATAGCTAGGTCTTGAGGTGTTTCTAATTGCTGTGTTTTCACGGTCACTGATAGTCTGATCTGCAGGCCTCCTATTCATATTATTCAGTGGCCTTTGTTTTGCTTTTGTCCTTGTTTTCAATTCTGAGGATTAAACACAGGGTTTGGGCATGCTAGATAAATGTTCCGTCACTTAGGTACATCCTCAGCCCTTGGTTTTTCAAGACAGGATCTCACTATATGTCTTAGACTAGCTTGGAACTAGTAATCCTCCTGCCTCAGCTGCCCTAGTGCTAAGATTACAGGCATTTGCTAGCATGCCTGACTCAATGTATTTTTATTTTAGCTTTTTCATCTGTTTGTGTGTACACATTCACAAGTATGAGTGAGCATCCGTGTTCGTGTGTGTGTGCATGTGTGTGTGTGTGTGGACCAGAGTGAACCCTGGTCTCTCATTGGCCTGTAGCTCACCAGCTCAATTAGACTGAATGGCCAGGAAGCCCTAGGGAGCCACCCATTCCTTCTCCCCCAGCACTGGGATTATAAGTGTGAGCCACCATACTCAGCCCTGTTATGTGTGTTCTAGGGCTCACACTCAAGCCTTCATTGTGTAGCAAGCTCTTTACCGAATGAGCTATCTCCTAGCCCTCAACTGTTTTATTTTTTTTTTTACTCATAGTTTTATTTGGATTATTTCTGCATCTTTTATTTCTCTTTTCCTTCCACTGATGTCTTATATTTATAATAGTTGCTTCAGTACTAATTTTAGAAAGTAATTTTAATGAAGTACTTTGACTGTACATAGGCCTGAAAAAATAAACTAAAAAGGAATAGTAAACAAATAACGGAATTCCGGATGTAGTTTTGTGCTTCACTGAGGTATGTGTTTGTAGCTCTGAGACTAATGGAGGGGTAAACATACGGAGGATAATGTGAATGTCGTAGTTTCTTCCCGTGACTGTGATGAAACACTAACAAAGAAAAAAGCAATTTAGAAGAAGAAAGGATTTATCTAGCTTATGCTCCCAAGTCACAATCCATCATTAAGGGCCATGAGGGCAGGAGCCATGGAGAAGTGCTGCTTGCTGGCTCATCCTCAGGCTTACTTGCTTGCAAGCTCGTGCCTAGCCAGCTTCACTATACATCCCAGGACCACCTGCCTTGGTGTGGTCCTGCTACTGCCCACACCAGGCTGGACCCTCCTGCATCAGTTGGGAATCAAGACAGCGCATCTCCACATGGGGTCACAGGCCTCTCAGGTCTAGGTAATTCCTCAGTGAGGGCTTTCCTCTCAGATGACTCTGGGCTGTGTCAAGTTGACAAAACTAAATGGGACAGTGAGCATCACTGTGAGAGATGACAACTGCAGATTCAGAGAGGAGGAAAGCACAAATAAAGGGTGGCTTTGTGTCAGGTTTGAGTTGGATGGATCATTTTAAACACGCAGTACCTACATCTCTGTATGCGTTGTGATAATGGATCCCGATGTGGCTATGTAGGCATGATGTGTGTACATATGCATCCATGCAATCATGTCAGAAATCGTCCTCCAGGGTGATAAGTAGAGCTGAAAAATTCTCATCAACCAACAACATTATGGTGACTTTGTACAACACATTACTGGTGTGCTTGTGATGAGGAAAGCTGTCTACACAGCAGGTCAAGCAAGTGAGGCTGCCTAGCCAGAAAGCCCTGGGGATCCCGTTTCTACCCTCCCCAGTGCTGGAATGACAAGCATGCCACAACACCTGCCTTTTAATGTGGGTTCTGAGGATCAAACTCATGTCCTTGTGCTTTTGAGGCAGCACTGAGCCATCTTCCCAGCCTGACGTGTGTGCGTGTGTGTGTGTGTGTGTGTGTGTGAATACACTTCTTTACAAATCAGGGCAAATTATTTGCTCAACCAGCTTTCCGTTATTAAGCCCCACTGTATACAACCACAGCCCTGCCCCCTTGCACTTGGGAATCAGTACATGCTTGTGTCTCCTAAAGGCTCTGTATGCCTGGTTGGGAGTACAAAGAGAGAGACTGAGGCAGCTTCTAGACAGACCCCTGGACCTGAACTTCCACACCAAGGTCTGCCTAGCCCACGCTATCCTCTGAGCTTGTATGGAGCTTGTCAAGGGTCAGACATAACCCCTTGAGCCTGTAAGACTGACCTTGGGCAGACATCTGCCACCTTTGCTAGATGGCAGGATAGGAAGCAGAGCAGGCCCAGGAGCCTTAGAGGCCCACTGGGGATGAGTACTGGGGAAGGACCACTGTACCAAGAAGTCCCAGCTCTGTGAGGGAAGCAGGAGGCCACAGGCTTGACCTGGAAAGTCTACCTCTGACATGGATGCCACAGCGCTGCTGGAAGGCCATCAAGGCCCAAAGTCTCAAGAGAGTACAGGAGGCAAGTGGCCTAGCCAGGGACAGACACAAAAGAAGGTTTGGACACCAGGCAAGGTACAGTCATAACTCGCTGGCCGGGCATGTCCAGGGTGGGTGGTTCTGGCCCTGCTGAACGTGAAATTTAAAGAGCATCTGGCCAGGTGTGTTGAAGGTGACACAATGGCCCCATTTACATAGGACAATTTGAGACAGCTGGAGACAGAACATGAGCGAGAGCATCACTGACCACACTCAGTCACAAACTTACACCAAGTACAGGTTCTACATCATCAGACAGTGGTAACTGAGGACAGAGGGCAAGAGAAAGGATGTACCCCTCCCAACCTGAGCACAGACCGCAGCTCCAAGGACCCCTCCTCCTGGACATTATCTTGACTGTCCCTAGTGACTCTCCTGTACCTCTCACAACCACTTATACAGCTCTATGATGCCTAACCCTGTACCAAGGTGTTTTGCTGGGGGTGGGGTGGGGAGACCTTCCCTCCATGGCTGAGAAGAAAGGATGCTCACACAGCAGCCCTCCCTGCCTGCTGCCCAGGACACCAGCCCCCACTGTGCCTGCAGAAGGAATCTTAACTACCCAGAAAGCTGCCAGGAAATGAATGACATGCCTACAGTCATCAAAACAAGTGTCAAAAGTCTGGGGTCCGGAGAGCTTTGTTATTTGGGCTGGGAGAGCGAAGGAAGGAACCCAGGTGACGCCCTCTCTGATCTGATGTTTGCATAACTGGAGCAGCCTCTCTGGTAAGCCAGAGCCCCTACCCAGAGCAGCCTCTGGCCTTGGACTCCAGGGTGTTGGCCCAGGCTCAGGCCACATTGCACTTAGTCTCTCAGGCCATTTCCACGTTCCTGACTTCAAACAAGTCGGAAATGCCAACAGCCCTGCCTCTCCGCTTCCTTCAGCCAGGGCTGCCTTCCGGCAGGAGCCAGGGGGGGAAATGGGGGTTGGGGGGAGGCAACCGGAGAGTGTGGATTTGCTGGCCTGTAGGCAGCCCCACGCCATCCAGGATGCTCCGCCTCCTCCACCTCCCGCAGTGTTCATGGTCACTGCTGCTTCCTGAGACCTCCCGGCCTCCCAAGGCAGCTGGGCAGCTGGACTACTGACAAGGAATCTTCCCCAGGGGAAATCTCAGCCTGCTCCTGGTAAAGCTAGCTACAGTCAAGGAGGGGAGGGCACCCCTGGGGAGCAGGGGCCATCTGTACTCACCTCTGTCCACTGCAGACTTTACCAGCAATCATCCTGAAAGCTCCTCCTGGGACCTCTGTCACCCACGCTGGACTGTGATGTGACATCCAGGTGGCAGCCTTGTTTAATCTCAACAACAAACAGGTGCTCAGCCCGAAGAGAAGACAATGTTCCTGAACTGACCCCAAAGCTGCAGGTCCCAGAGGAGACCTGGGAGTGGCCAACAGGAAGGCCCTGCCTAACTTTCAGGGAAGGGCTGGGAAAGGCCATGGTTGTGAACCAAAGCCAGGCATGTAGTAGTAGCACCCTCAGTCTGCAGATCCCTAGAGAACGTGGTCCCCTCCTTGCCCAGGGTGGCAGGCTCCCTGGGGGAGCTAGCATTTCTGCGGGTGTCTGGATGAGTATCAAAATGGGTCTTGGGACAACATCTGGACTCATGATTGGATTTTTGAGGAGCCAGTGGCCAAGCAGCAGACTGTCTGGTAGTCACCTCTGAAGCCAGGACAATACATGATGGCTACTCACGTAGGAATGCCTGGCATCCACAGTTCCCAAGGGCATCAGTCAGGGACTCAAGTCTCATTCATTCTCCTTGTTTTCCATGCTGCACTGCATGCTTCACAAAGTGGTACTGAAGTACAGAAAAACTATAATAAACTTGACATCTTTCAGGACCTGAAGGAGAGGGCTACCAAACACTCCCTACATCTCTGGCCTGGGCCTTACGTACCTCCACAAGAGATTCATGGGCTCCATCTAGAGAAAGGAAGCCCACGGAGCTCTGCCCAGGAAAGCGAGCTTGCCAGCCCAGCATCTGGGCCCCAGTACCTGCTTGGCTGTGGTCCTGGTACTGCCCTGTCCTGGCAGGGGAACAGCGCCAGCTTGTTCTGCCTCCTTCCTGGACACCCGCACCCCCAGCTCTGGTCCTGCTCCTACCCTGAGAAGAAGAGCAGTCTGGGGTGGAACATAGGAGACCACAAAGGCCAGAGGCCTCTTCTGTACACATGGCAAACCTCACACCCTGAGGCAGGAAGGAAAACTCAGGAAGCTGAAGTGGCTGAAAGAGTGAGTGGCTGTGGGGAGGGGCAGTGCAGCAGGGCCACACCCTGTAGGTAGCCCATCTCCATTGGTCATCCAAGTCCAGTCCCAAAGACACTGGCCTCCTCTCAGGCAGAGTTGCCTTTGTCATCTGCGTCCTCTAACCCTTACGTCTTTTCTCTAGAACAGTCAGAAAGGGATTCTTGATGTGTGCTAAGAACAAGGAAATGTAACGCAGACCCTGCTTGTCTTCCCTTCCGGAAAAGGTCCAGAGCTGCCCACTCTACCTGCACCCCACCTCTGGGCAGCCACTCCTGTCCAGCCCCTGCACACAGCATTGACAAGGCCCCTCCACAGTCTACCCCAGCCACAAGCAAATGCCACCTTCCTTCCCTCACTGTGTTCAGGGTGGCTCGTCCCTGCTCCTGATGGCACTGTCTGCTCCTTGTCGTTACCGTGTGGCTGGCAGAACAGACTATGAGATATTTATGTGTTTTACAGTGCTTGACAGTCGGGGCTGTTCTGGGGTTTGTTTTAGTTAAAATTTGCAGCTTTATTGAAGTAAAATTGGCAAAATGACCTAAGTATATGTATTCAGGTTTTATGCGATGCAGCGATTTGGGGTATGTCGAGAATGACTGCCGTGAGCATTCCTTCACGTGGGCTTCCACAGGCGGGAGGTAATCTAGTGTCAAGCAAACGATACTGTATTTCTAATGCAGCCAGCACCACTGGACTGGAGCACTTACATAACGAAATGATAAAGACTAGAATACCATTTCAGCTGTTGCTTGTCACGCCCAGTCCACTCTCCAGGTCTTAAAGCCATACTTCTACTCCCTGCTCTGTGGGTTTGGTGTTTTTAGATTCCACACATGAACTCATGTGGCAGTTGTCTTTCTGGACCCGGGTTATTTCACTTCTCCTGGGGTCATCCAGGCTCAGCTCATGTTGTTGCGAATGGGAGATTGTTTTCTTTTACAGCTGGGTATGGCCAATCCCAGAGGATGAAGAGCTTCAGGTTCAGACGCCCTCCAAACCTTCCCACATACCCCTCCTTGCTCTCTTTCAAATTAGTGGCCTCTCTTTTTCACTAATTGTTGTTACATATATATATATATGCATAAATATTCCTAAATACTCAACTACAACCTGCTCAGCCTCTGTAATGATTTTTGTATCTAAGTTTTGAGGGCTGACCATTTGGTACCGGATGAGCAACTGGTGTGCTCCTCCCTGAGGAAGACTGTTTCTCCTGCTCTCAGCATTCCTTATATATGTGTACTGGGGATTTTCTCCCTCAATTGTAATTTAGATTAATGAAAGTTAGTTTAACTGGCCGGGCAGTGGTGGCGCACGCCTTTAATCCCAGCACTCGGAAGGCAGAGGCAGGCGGATCTCTGTGAGTTCGAGGCCAGCCTGGTCTACAAGAGCTAGTTCCAGGACAGTCTCCAAAGCTACAGAGAAACGCTGTCTCAAAAAAACAAAAAACAAAAAAAAAAAAAAAGAAAAGAAAAAGAAAATTAGTTTAACCATAAATAAATTTGTTTCTAATGTAAGTCACATCTTCCTAACAAAACCCCAGTTTGATAACCATGAGTAACTTATCCCGCGTCCATATCTCCATGTAACTGTCCATCCAGAACAGGCCGTGTGAGCCTCGTAAAGCGTCCCTCTGTCTGCACTACTTTACTGAGTGTCTGGGGACAGCGCAAAGGCCCAAGTGGATGCCTCGCACATTGTGGGTTTGCTCTCTTAGCTGAGAAGCTTGGCTCTTACCGCAAGCCTGCTCTTCATCCCCAAGAGGACAATATTTCATCTCTCAAGGCTGCGCTCTGCGAACACAATCCAAGGAAATGACCTTGCCGATAGCCGACAGGGACTGGCATTCTTGTTTCCAGCAAAAGTCTAGGCTCAGGGCCACAGTGAACGCTTCCCCCGTCAGGCTACTCCTCGGCCCACATATTCTTGACCAAACATTTTACCAGAGGACATTCTGAAATGCCCCACCGTGGTCACGAAGTAGCCTATTCCCATTTGCCCTCTCATCTACTGAGACCCCATTAGGTGTAAAGCCATTGCATCTGCCTGATGGGTGTGAAGTTATGTTCACCTCTAGTGATCCATTTGCCCTCATGGTCTCTTTTATTTGATGATAATACAACCGTGCCAGCTGTCCTTTGGCTAGCATCTGGTTTATCTTCACTGGAACCTCTAATTCATTTTAACGTATTGTGTGGCTGGAAGAGATGTCTTCATCTCTATCCCTCATGCTGTTCCTTCCCTCTGACTGACAACTGATTCTGTCTCTGCCCCTTACCATTCTATCTGGTCCATCCTTAATATTTTTCATCATATTTTGAGTATTTTAACTGCCCTATCTTATCTCTCTCCATCAAGGATGTTCAGCCCCTGGGGTCTCAACGATTCTCCAGATGGTACAGATAACCTTTAATACATCAGGAGTCATTAATAGGCCCCCTTGTACCTTTACTCCCCACTGAAACAGCTGTGGCCTGAGGGGACCTCAGTTTGATGCCTTTTCCAGTCTCTATGCTTTTTCTGTCTTGAGTTTTAATTTGTAGATTTCCTCACTAGTTCATTAACCACAGTGTTCCTTTTGATCATTGTCCACTTGGATTTAAGCTCTGGCTTCTTCCTTCTTTCCTTCTTGAATCTCTGACCTTACATCTCCTGCCAACTTGAAGTTGACCCAACTTCTTTAAGTATGGGTCTATATTTCTAGGTATGCCTTTGTTACTGCTTGTGTGAATTGCCTTCATGTAACTTCTGAGTCTAGGGCTTTATGTTGGCACTGTTGTCTTCTGGTGTGCTGGAGACGTAACTCCACTGTTCTCAGGCTTCCATAGTTCCCAGGAAAAGTCAGCTGTCTGCGCATGAGCCGCCCCTGACTTGTTAGCTCTCTTCTTTCAGAATGGCTTCCTGCAGTTGGTTTCCTACTTTTCTAGCACGGGTTCAGTGTGGCTTTATTTTTTGTTTTCCCAGCTACTTGATCCCTGAGGTTTTTGAATGTACAGCTCCGCGTCCTTCATCCATCCTGGAAGGCTCTCGCACTGTCTGTCTCCTTTCCTTCTCTCTGGTGTTTGTGCTGGTTTTTTTTTTTTTTTGTGTGCCTCTCACCTTTATTCTGATTCCTCCATCTTATCATCCTTGAGCTCAAACCAGAGAGTTTCTTAACTGACATTTTGGGTTCAGTCCACTGCTTTTCTGTAATTGCATCAAATCTATTTTGAAATCTCATTACTTTATTATATGTATTTGATTCCTTGTTATATTTGGCTTTGGAAATACTTCTTCTTTTTCAGGTTTTTTGAGACAGGGTTTCTCTGTAACTTTGGAGACTATCCTGGAACTTGCTCTGTAGACCAAGCTGGGCTCGAACTCACAGAGATCCACCTGCCTCTGCCTCCCGAGTGCTGGGATTAAAGGCATGCACCACCACTTCCCAGTTGAAAATACCTTCTTTTATAATTATCATCAAGATTTTTTTTATCACAACCATTTCCTCCCAGTTTTTATTGTAATAAAATATACAGCCTCAATGTTAGGTATAAACAGTTCAGCAGTGTTAACGGGCATTTAATTGGCTGTGTTAACCATTACCATCTGCCATGCTCTTCCACAGCCTGGGTCTCACAACCCTGACTAGGGACAAGGTACTGAAGAAAGGACAGAACCACAGACGCATGTACAGAGAGCTGAGGTCATACGGCTTGGGTTATCTGATGGAGAAGCTGCAGTACCCTAGAAGCTCAGCATGTCTATTATAGACAGGGAGCTGAGGTTATTGTATACAGCTGAGCAGGAAGCAGGCTTAGCTCATCTTGGTAGGAGCAGTCTCTGTAGGAGAGCAGTCTTCGGGCTGTAAATATCTCGAGCGCACATTTCTGCACACATTGTCAACATTTGTACTCAGACCCAAGGAAGCCTTTGCTGCTTCCATGGATCTGAGGCATCAGGGTTGTCCATGCCAACAATACACATCCACTCAGGACCTTAATCCCTCCCTACAGCCACCACCCATCCAAGCAAATCTTTGTATCTTCCAAAACTGAAACCCTATACTGATTAAGTAACAACTCCCCATTGCCCCCTTCCTTAGCCCATGAAAAATACCAATCTTCCTTCCACCTCTGTGAGTTTAATGATCTGGAGGCTTTGAGTAAATGGATTCACGCAGTATTTATCTTTATATTTCACTCATCGGGATGCTATTGAATTTCATCCACATTATCGCATGTCAAGGTGTTTTCCCTTTTAACAATGCCCCATTCTTTGCATGTGCTATGTCGTCTTGTTGACACATTTGTTCATCAGTAGACACTTGGGTTGCTCCCAATGTTTAGATATTGCTAATAATGTTGTGATATAAATGATGCTGTATAGTGCTAGTACAGGTCTCCTCAGAATGAAGCCCAGAGTATGCCCAGGCACCACTGCCTGACACCCTGTGAGGTCAGAGTTAGCTGCAGTCCACCTGACTGCTATAACAAAGTATCTTACACTGTGCAACCTGGAGGCAATAGGAATGAATTAACAGTCCTGGAGCCCGAGAAGTCCAAGGCACTACCAGAATCCATAGCTGGTGAGGCCTGCCTTCTTGTTCATAGATGCGAGTCTTGCTGTGTCTTCATGTAGCAGAAGGGACCCTGGGCTTCTTGCGTAAAGGCATTGATCCATTCACACGGTCTCTACCCTCTTAACTGCACCCTTGACTTAACGATTTTAACACATGGCAGGTAGTATAGCCAAGTCTCAGAGGTGAGAAAGCCAGAATGCAGAGAGGCAGGCTAAATTGTCGCAGACTGCTTAGCTAGTGAGTTGCAGAGTTGGGGCCAGAGCCTCCTGCCCATCCTGAGGTCCAAACACACGGCATGACTTTCCAAGCCATGCTGGCCCCTGAGCCTCCTGTTTACTCTCATGCACTTGGCTCAATGAAAGAATGCTGACCCACCTCCCAAGGCCTCTGGCTAGAGTATGATACACCTGGGTTGTTAGCAGCAGGGCAGAGCCTGGCCCTGAGCATAAGACCTGCACAAGAGGATAGAGCAGGACCACATGATTCCATTCCAGGGGTAAGGGGCTGCCAGCTGGATCCCTCTTTAAGGATGCCGGGGGTAGGGCAACTGAGACGCCGCTGGGTTGACCACCTTCTGTAATGCCCAGTCCATACCTGTCCTGGTTTTCTGCCTCACAGGTGAACAATAACGGGATCATCTCCTTCCTGAAGGAGGTTTCTCAGTTCACCCCTGTGGCCTTCCCCATTGCCAAAGACCGCTGTGTGGTGGCAGCCTTCTGGGCAGATGTGGACAACCGACGTGCAGGCGACGTCTACTACCGGGAGGCCACTGACCCAGCCACGCTACAGAGAGCCACAGAGGACATCAGACGGTACTTTCCTGAGCTCCCGGACTTCTCTGCTACCTGGGTTTTTGTTGCCACCTGGTACCGCGTGACCTTCTTTGGAGGCAGCTCCTCTTCCCCCGTGAGTCCAGGTGGCTGTGTGGCCTGGGAGGGAGGCTGTGTAGTTGGGACCCTGCCGAGGCAGGCCAGGTATAGACGGTCTACAGCCAGAGAGGACTCTGGGCTTAAGGCTGTGTCACCTTTTTCTGAGATCACAGGGCCAGGGTGGAGGAGGACAGAGCCTCGCCCTTCCAGGCCCAGCAAAGCAGTTGGCAGGAGGGAGCTGCATAGGTGCTAGGAGGATTTCTATTGGAATGGCTTGGTTCTCGAACAGTCCCAGGGTGGGGCAGAGGGAGGGAGGGTCTGTTCTTGGCGGGATATTTTTTGTTTGTTTGGTTCTTGTAGGTTTGTTTTGTGTGCACGCGTGCATACGTGCATGCGTGAGAGAGAGAGAGGTATATCACGCATGTATCTTCAAGTGTGCACGCCTATGGACAGGCCAGAGGAAGACATTGGATGTCCTGTTCTGTGTCATTTTATCCCTTATGTCATCTAGACAGGGGCTAGCGGTAAACTTTGGGCTAGGCTAGCAGCCAGCAAAACTCAAGCAATCCCCCTGTCTCGACCACCCCAGCACTTATGCTTATGTGCACACACAGGCTTAAGTGTGGCCATGTTCCAGTGTGTACTAGTGCTGGATGTTCATCTTCACACTCGTGTAGCGAGCACTTGTACGGCTGAACCACCAGCACAACTGCTGGGGTTTTTTGTTTTGTTTTGTTTTGGAGTAAGGTAATCATGTAAACCAGGTTGGCTTCAAACTCACTACGTAGGTGTGAATGACCTTCAACTCCTGACCCTCTCACCTCAGTTTCCAGAGTGCTGGGTCTGCAGGTGTGTGCCGACATACCTGACTGTTCCGTTTGTCTTTGGTGAGTGTGGTTGGCTGCTGTTACCCATCTAGATGGGTACTCTCCAGCACTTACTACACATAGGCCTATTCTGGATACTGAGCCACACAGAAAGAAAACCTGAGATGCAAGTGGCCTTTCAAAAGGGCTTTGGTAAGGGCACCTTCTGGGTGGCAGGTAGTGTCCCAAGCACTGGATAGCAGCTCTGGAAAGACAAGCCAACACTGTGGGGCTTATACGGGCCCCTAACAAAGACAGCAGGCGCTGGGATATGCTCAGAAGTGCAGTCTGTCCAGGTAGCACCTGCTGGGAAGGCTCATCAACACCAGGTGGATCTGTGTATTTTATTGCTCTACAGCCCCGACCACTGACCTTTGCGATCGTCACCCTTCCCGCCACCCACACAAAGCATTATCATCCGTCTGTTTACTCTCTCCTGCCAAATTTTATATGAGAATGATTCCCGCTCTGCTCTCTATTGTTCCCAATGGTTGAGACAACCTTGGGCTGTGAGGGGGGCTCCCATACTACCAGTGCCTTATGCATGGCCCTTCGAGATCCTACTGCGACACACATCTCCAGAACAGGCTGCTGCCCTTGCAGGGTCTCCTGCCGGCGTCCATTTGAAGGTGCCCGTTCTCTGCATCCCAGATAAGCGCTCTGTCATTTTTCTTCTTTGCTAACACTGCAGGCAAATCAAGGAATGCTTTTTTAAAACTTAGACATCTTTGGCTTCTACAGATGTTAGATATTTTTTCTAGTATCATTGCTAGAGCTAACGTACTTATTCATGCCTTCTTCCAATTTTTCTTAATACTTATGGTCCATTTTTATTGTTCTATGTTCTTCTGAATATGAAGGATAACAGCAGTCTTATCTGCTGTATGTTATGAATACATTTTTTTGCTACTGTCTCCAAACATTTTAATATAACAACACTTTTTCCACTCAGAGACTTTTGTCCATAAATGTATTCATCTTTCTTTTGGTTTTTGCTATTAATAAGCATCATAGAAGTCCTTCTCTGAGATGCAACACATATTACCCAGGGTTTTCTTCTAGGAATTCTATGATGTTTGTTTTAAAACCGTACTTGAGCCGGGCAGTGGTGGCACACACCTTTAATCCCTGCTCAGGAGCAGAGGCAGGAGGATCTCTGTAAGTTGGAGGCCAGCCTGGTCTATAAGAATTTCAGGATAAGCACCAGAGAAACCCTGTCACGAAAAAAGAAAAAAAAAAAAAGAATACGGATTTGGGATTTGTTTTCATGCATGGTGTGAAGCGGGGCAGGATGCTAGCTTTGCCCTTTTTCAGTTTCCCATATGTCCCAAGATCATTTCTTCACCCCAGTCTGAAATACCTTCTTGGGGTACACTGTTCAGCAATATTCATGGAGTAAAGGTCCAAAAAACCCTAATATTAGCAACTGCTTTTCCTCTTCGTTTTTGTTCTTACCACAGAGATTTTGTGGGTTTGGCTGAGGGAGTGCTTCAGCCTCTACAGGAGCCTGAGCCCCTTGTAGCGGGGGACCATGTCTGCTCCAGGTGTTCTGGCCCTGTCCCTCAACATTCGGGTAGGCTGTAGAGATAGACAAAACTACCATGATCCTACCTTGCTTGACTGTGCATTTGGAAGAGAAATGGCCTTTGATGTGGGACAGGGAATGCAGCCAGTCACAGCTGGCTCCTTCTCCTGGCAGGTCAACACATTCCAAATAGTGCTCATCACCGATGGCCGGTTCTCCTTCACCATCTTCAACTACGAGGCCATCCTGTGGACCACAGGCACACACGCCAGCAGCGGGGGTGATGCTGATGGCTTGGGAGGCATCGCAGCCCAGGTAGGCCAGGCTAGAATTGGCATCCACCCTGCTCTTCCCGCCAAGGTACCATGGGCAGAAGCGGTAGGCAGACATCCACTGTAGCAGATACCTGCTCCCCTCCACTTCTATGTAGAGATCAATCTGTGGCAGCCACGGTGACTCTGTCCCTCAGGCCTCTCAGTGCCCAGAACCACAAGAGCCCCTGGTACCTTTATCCCTTCCTCCCTGATAAGGGTCTCTGTCCCAAATGTGTCAGGAGGGCTGTGCCCATCCCTAAAGCCATGCTCCTCCACTCACCTCTGGTCCCCAACTTTCTCCTGGGGCAAAACTTCCATGGGCCCTAGGTGAGGCCTAGATGCTGAGTGTGTGAGTGCTGGAAGCTAGGGAGGAAGTCGAGTACCACGCTTGACTGGAGGGACTACTGAAGTCAGCAGACCCCAGCATCTACCGTGTCCTCTGTTTACAAGGCCATCCCTCCACCATCCTTGACTTGGCCATCCTGAGAGAGGCCTCAGTGACTATAAGGAGACCTGCCTCCTTCTCTGCCCCGCTCCCAGGCAGGTTTCAACGCAGGTGATGGGCACCGTTACTTCAACATCCCTGGGTCACGCACAGCAGACATGGCTGAGGTGGAGACCACCACCAACGTGGGCGTGCCCGGGCGCTGGGCGTTTAGAATCGATGATGCCCAGGTGCGCGTGGGGGGCTGCGGCCATACAAGTAAGAGGCTCAGGGAGGGGAGGGCTGAGGAACCCTGTGGCAGTAGGGGTGGGGCTCAGGGGCTAGAACCTATCCCCCACCTCCCTAAATCCCCATCCACCCACCCCTGCCCCACAGCCCATCCTGTCCCGTGCCTCAGGTGATCTGGGTCTTCCGGGAGAGGACCAGAGTAGGGTCTCTGCCCACATCCCACCCCTGCCTCCATCTCAGGGGTGAGGGGAGGGAGACCGGGACCTCCATAGGCCTGATGGTACTGACAAGCCAGAGCTTCGTATGGTCCTTCTGGTCTAGTAGAACAAGCAGTCAGGTGACCCTGGTAGCACAGACTGACCATGCACCCACTCAGGAACCCCAGCTCTACCACCATGTGGTCCCTAGAAGGTACCATATCCAGAAACACCCTGTCCACAATGCAGAGGTGTCAAAACACTAGCTGACTGACCAGTAGATCCCTTCATCACAAACCCTCCTAAATCCAAGCTGAAGACATGTCCCTGCCGGGACCCACACACACACTTGTTGGTCATGTGGATGAGCCCACAGAACAGGGTGCTTTTCCTCGGCACTGAGTCCCCTGAAGAGAACTCAGCTGGGAAATTACACAGAGCAGCCACAGGTCAGGGGGACCGTGGGGTGGAGGGGAGATGAGGATGAGTGTACTCAGGACATGCAGGGCTGGGAAGGGGGAAGTTGGCACACACTTGACATGCTGGGTACATAGTAGGCCAGCCTGGGAAGCTGAGCTGAATTCCATGCCATCCCAGTCCCAGAGCAGCAAGTGGAACACTTAAGGAGGCAGAACCCCAGGGCAGCCCCAGCCCTGCTCCTGGCCAGCAGTCAGCTCTGATACTAGGACCTTGGCCTAGTCAAGTGGGCCTGTGGGTGCTGCTTGCAGTGGGGGCTGGGTCAGGTCCCTTGCCAAAGGCTGGAGTATTAGGTTCTGGCAGAGGAGCAAGGGGCACGTATGGGCAGACCATATTTTTGAAGCTGTTACAGCTCAGCTGGAGGGGGACTCTCAGGAGAGCATCCCACCAGATCCTTCCAGGTGCCCCCCCCCCCATTGCAGAGCACCGCCCCCAGGTCTATGGGATAAGACGGAACAAGAAACAGCAGCAGAGATGCCTTGGTACTGTGCTGCGTCTAGGAGCAGGGATGTAGCTATGCTGCAAGCCCCGGGGGCAATTGTGGGGTGTTATAGAAACGTGAGATTGCTCAGAAGGGAGGGCGAACGGTGCCTTAGAGGTGGCGCCTGGTGCATGGAAGTCTAACTCCTAAGCAAACCCAGCTTCTGGCCATGGCTGCAAAGAGCAGCCAAATTTCAAGTAGACCAGGTGAGCACAGTGCTGCTAAATCATCCCAGTTGACAGAAAGGTAAGCTCCCTGATCAGAAGACACCACAGTCTGAAGAGTGTGGGGGACCACTAGTCCTCCCTGGAGTCCTCCTCCTAGCAATAGGCGATTGGAGTCCTTGAGACTTTCTCATCTCCTGCCTATTTGTGATTAACCTCTTATTTCAGGAGCCCAGCCAGAAATTACAGAATGGAGTTTGGGGGTTGCTGAGGTCTCAGGGGAACCCCGGGAGGCCTTCTTAAGAGCCTGTGCTGTGATACACACTGGCTGTGACAGCTTCTCATTTTACACGTGTAGGAACCAGGAGGGTAGCTGAGCAGCCCTAGAAGTGGCCGTGGTAGAAGTAGAAAGGATTAGAGAGATAAGAGGAGTTGTGGGTGCAGGTGATTCTGGGGATGTCTGTCTCCACAGGAAGCCAGAGTCAGAGCCTAGGACATTAAGCCTAGAACAATCAGCAAGAGACCCTGGCAAGGGTACCTGCAGGCAAACTGGGGTCCAGCTCAAAGACCCAGAAACCGAACACAAAGATGCACGGTCACCAATGTCATGGTCACTAAACTGACCCTCTGGTGGAGGGAAGGGAGACGTAGCCATTGCAGGTGACTCTCCTGCCCACATTCTTGATGCAGTGGCCTGAGGCTTGGGCTCCTTCCTGTGTCCGCAGCCTCTGTGTGCCTGGCCCTGCGTCCGTGCCTCAATGGCGGCAAGTGTATCGATGACTGCGTCACAGGCAACCCCTCCTACACCTGCTCCTGCCTCGCGGGCTTCACAGGGCGGAGATGCCACCTGGGTGAGTCACTGGCACCCAGGTAGGGACAAGGTGCCCATTGATTGCCCTGCACGACATCACGCCAGGCTCAGGGGATACTGACGGTGGCACTGAGGGCCAAGGTCTCCTTGCTTGTGATGGAGAAACTGATGGAGGTCTAAGGCTATGGCCATGTGGCAGTGAGTGCTGTTGCTGCTGCTGCTGCTCCTAGCCACTCTAAGTTAAGGCCTGTCTGGGTTCGGGGCTTAGTCTGTCCCCCACCCCTACCCAAAGCCCTGGCAATTCCTTCACAGTTTCCTCTACTGAGGCCCCAGCCTGCTCCATGTTTCAGATGTAAACGAGTGTGCCTCCCACCCATGCCAAAATGGTGGGACCTGCACCCACGGTGTCAACAGCTTCAGCTGCCAGTGCCCCGTCGGCTTCAAGGGACTCACCTGTGAATCAGGTAAGAAGGCACCGACCCTGCTAGCTGCAAGACACAAGACACACAGCTAGGGGAGAGTGAGACTGAGGACAGCAGAAGGACTTGGCACCAGCGTGGGCAGCCTAGAGAGTTCTGTCACAAGGGAGCGCAGGAGCCCGATGTCTTATGGTGTGGGCAGGAGCAAATATGGGTGAGTGTAGCAAACACAGGCTTCCTGTCCCCAATGCTTCAGAATAGATGAGAGCCCAGGTCCTGCACTGGCCGGGGTCAGAGTCAGGAGTCTTCTGGGTGTGAGAAGGTGGAGGATTTCCGGGGTGAGATGGGATAGCTTTCAGATGGGGAGGGTAAGGCACATGCTCACAGAGCACAGGCTTTCTGCCACACTGGCCCTGAACCAACTGCTCCCTCCAAGGCTGCCACAATCTGGGCAGGTGCAGGGTCGGGTCCTGCTGCTTCTCCACTGTTGCTTTCCAACCATTGGAGCTCTTTGTTTTCACAGTTCCAGCTCATCTGAAGCGTCCCCCAATAGATTCACGCTCCGGGTTCCTACTGTCCACTGGTACCACCTGAGAGCCCTCCTTCTTGCTCTGCACTGTCCCAGAAAGTGGGCATTCTAGCCTCCAGCATCACCATGTGGGCTATTCCAAGGCAGCCCCTGAATGTCAAATACTGTGACCACCATACCCGACCCAGCTCAGCCAAACAGGCACCCCCTTTCACCCCCATTGTGTCCTACATCATCTAGCCATCATTATAAAATACTACTACAGTGTTGTAATGAGGATCCTTAAACTCTTTCTACGCACCAACCTTTTGCTAAAGAAATTTTTATGCACTTCCAGATATATAGGTACACAAAATCGCTATATAAATCAAACATTTACTGATGATAAATCATATTGAAATTTATCTTTAAACTACCAAATATACATATAATTTTTACCACTGATTAAAGATGAAAGCAGCCAGGAGTAGTGGTGAATTCCTTTAAAGTCAGAACTTAGGAAGCAGAGGCAAGTAGATCTTTATAAGTTTGGGGTTAGCCTGGTATACATAGAGGGTTCCAGGTCAGCCAAGGCTACATGGTGAGACCATTTCTCAAAAAATAAGGAGAGGGAAAGAAAATGTGCCCTCAAATTTGAATACTAACAAGGTATATGTGCTTATTTATTTTTACATAAAATTTAAATTGTGGCTGAGTATTTGATAATGCAGGGCATCTTCAGTAATTCAGAGCTGATGAATATTTTGATTTTATAATCATCGATGATAAGAATACTGCTTCACATAAATGTATAGTACAAAGTGACAGAAGTATGTTTAGTGCCATCAGCAATGCTGAAAACAGCCCTGGTCCCAAGCCAAAATTCATGGCGTTTGAGAGATGGCTCAGCAAAGCACTTGCCACTCAAGCATAAGAACCTGAGATGGATTCCTGCAACCCATCTTCAAGATCCAGGTGCCTTAGTAGGTACTTGTATCCATCCATTGACAAATAAGATGCGCCCTAGAGCTTACTGGTCAGCCATCCTGCCATCCTACCCTAAATTGGCAACTTCCAAGCCTGACCAAAAAAAAAAAAACTCAAACTCTCAGGCCAGGCATAGTGATTCAGGCTTTTAATCCCAGCAATAGGGAGGCAGAGGCAGGCAGATCTCTGTGAGTTCAAGGCCAGCCTGTACTACATAGTGAGTTCTAGGACACCCAGGGCTCTGTAGACAAACCCTGTCTCAAAAAAAAAAAAAGAAAGAAAGAAAGAGAGAGGGAGGGAGGGAGGAAGGAAGGAAGGAAGGAAGGAAAGAAAAGAAAGTCGAGTTCTCTCTAAGATCCCACAACTCAAAGATAATACTATAATTTGATACTTCTGTGCTGAGGAAGGATAGTAGGTAAGCACCGAAAGCCTTTGCTTACATAAGACATTGTATTTGCACTAGAAGAAAAGTGTGGTTGGTGAGGGGTTTCAGGCAGGGTTGTTCACTGGTCTTGCCCTGCACGATGGCAGGTGGGGTGTGGAGTGTACACGCTGTGTTCAGCATTAAGGCAGCCCTGAAGCTGAGAGTCAACACAGTGCACACTGCCAAGACCCCCCTCAGAGCCAGGATGCATTTCATTTTGAATTTCTCGTTATGCAGTCAGCAGTACTTTGCTGTTGCAAATTTTTCACAATATCTTGTTTCAGTTTTGCAGCCACATATGGGATTGGCAATGCACAGTTTAAGAACATAGGATTCAGAACGTGTGTTCAAATAGCTTCCATCTCAATACCTCGGTCTAGAAAAACAAGCCTATCAAGATTCATGGTCACAAGAAGCTAAATGTTAAATTTCAGGGTACACACACACACACACACACACACATTTTTCCTTGAGAAAACTGTAGTTGAATGACACTAAGAAGATTGTACACACACACACACACACACACGCACGCACGCACACACATACATGAAGGAATGAGCACGCACACACATACATGAAGGAACGAGTTTGTGAAAGAAATGAAAAGGAAATGTAATTTTTGGTGCAGACAAAGATGGGATTTCCATTTGGGAAGAGGAGTTTGCAGTGACCCCTCAGCTGTCCGCTGTGGACAAGGCTACATTGTTCCAGCCCAAACCAGAGCATGGTTGGTCGAACACCTTCCGGGCTAAAGAGCTTTTCCTCAAGCAGGGGCTAGGCCCTACTTGCCCTCCCTGCGACAGCAGAGCTAGGTGTGGGAGCTACTGTGCAGACGAGGGTGAAGGATGCTACCATGCTGTCCAGGGAGGACTCAGCCTATGAGGTGTGAGAACGGCCCCAGAGGACAGGAGCCGAGCTGGGCAGCAGCCGTTCCTTAGCCACTGAGACAGGCTGGAAGCCCCAAGTCCCAGCAGCACTCTGGATGCATGGCAGAAGCTGGTTCCATTCTCCCTACATCCTGTCCAGCATCCATGCCCCTCCTCCGTTCCAGGTTTGCTGAATGAGAACCAATTCATACAGAGCTTTGGGTACCCTTGGATACTGCCCTAGCCAGGCTTCCTCCCAGCCTGTCACCTCCCCAGAGACAACCAGTGTAGTAATAAGAGCAGCAGGGCTGCGTCCCCAGCACCCCGGCCGCCTGCTAGCTTATGCCCGAAATAACAACACACAAACTGTATTCATTTAAACACTGCTTGGCCCATTTCTATCTAGCCTCTTCTAGGCTAACTCTCGCACCTGGGCTAGCCCATTTCTTATAATCTGTATAGCCCACGAGGTGGCTTACCAGGGAGATTCTAGCCTACGTCCATCCTGGGTCAGAGCTTCATCGCGTGCATCTGCCCAGGAGAGGGGAGCATGGCGTCTCTGCTCCAGAGAGCAGAGCTGTCGAGTCTGAGCTCATTTCCTCTTCCTCCCAGCATTCTGTTCTGTTTACTCCTCCCACCTATGTTTTAACCTATCAGGGCCAGGCAGTTTCTTTATTGCTTAACCAATGGAATCAACAGATTGATATATGACACTCCCACATCAAACCAGGATCCCCTTTCATTGAGCCTATAGCTATCAAGGGTGAGGCCCAGTGCCTGTCCTCAGGCACTTCTGCTCATCAGGCCTCCAATACCCTGTCTACTCATCCTTACTTGTAGCCCAGTCTCCCTGTGACAACAAAGTGTGTCAAAATGGCGGCCAGTGCCAGGCAGAGAGCAGCTCCGCAGCATGTGTGTGCCAGGCTGGGTATACTGGGGCCACCTGTGAGACAGGTGAGTGGCCTACACACAGGATGGGAGGTCGGGGACTCTGGGTGGCAGGTAGTGCTTGGGAGGGCTCCCTTCTTGAGGTTCAATATGGTCACAGTCTGGCTTAAGCTAAGCCCATATCTTTCCTGCCCCAAGATGTGGATGAATGCAGCTCCAACCCATGCCTGAATGGAGGATCATGCGTTGACCTGGTTGGAAACTACAGCTGTGTTTGTGTGGAGCCCTTCGAGGGACCTCGATGTGAGACAGGTAGCTGCCACATCCCCCTCCACCGTGACTGCAGCTTGTACAGTGGCTGTCATTTTAGCCACTCCCGGTTCCTTCCTTCCCGCCCCCCCCCCCTTCTCAGCCCTTCCAGAGCCACCAAATGGACAGAGCAGGAAGCAACCAGGTTGGGTAGGTCTTTTCCTCCTTGAGCATTGGTCTCCATCTAGAACACGCAGGAGCAGATGACACCATTCCCAAGTCCGTGTTTTCAACTCAGGATTCTATGCTCTTTAGCACTGTTTCTTTCCTGGCACTGAAGAGCTGTAGGGAACAGACAGAAAACTGGCCTTTGCCACATGGGACCAAGTGTGCTCTTTTCTACCCTACCTCATGTTTTAAATGTTGGCTGTGCCTTGGTAGATCAATGACAAAGCCAACTAGAGATTGCAAAGCATGGTGTAAAAATGCGATAAAAGGCCGGGCTGTGGTGGCACTCACCTTCATTCCCAACACTCAGGGAGGCAGAGGCAGACAGATCTCTGTGAGTTCGAGGCCAGCCTGGTCTACAGAGCTAGTTCTTGGACAGCTAGACAGCTAGGGCTGTTACACAGAGAAACCCTGTCTCTGGCTAACTTTAGGGTTCACAGTTTACCCACAAGGAAGACCCAGATGGATGGCTTCTGTCAGATGCCACAGCAAGAGGCCAGGCCAGGCCCTGGTGAAGGCCTGAGAGCAGAAAGCAGGAGTGGCACCCTGCCCTCACTTTCTGACTGTATTCAAATCCCCATTATTTGGTTCAATAACTGCCTTGCTTGAGTAGTTATAGAAAGATCGGTGTAGTGAACTAAATTTATATCAGAAAACAGGCAAGTGCTTTCTATTTTTTTTTTTTTTTTTTTTGTGAGACAGGGTTTCTCTGTAGCTTTGGTGCCTGTCCTGGAACTAGCTCTTGTAGACCAGGCTGGCCTCATACTCCCAGAAATCCGCCTGCCTCTGCCTCCCGAGTGCTAGGATTAAAGGTGTGCGCCACCACTGCCCGGCAAGTGCTTTCTATTTTTGTTTTGTTTTGTTATGTTTTTTGTATTTTTCAAGGCATGGTTTCTCCGTAGTTTCTGAAACTAGCTCTTGTAGCCCAGGCTGGCCTCAAACTCACAGAGATCCGCCCGCCTCTGCCTCCCGAGTGCTGGGATTACAGGCGTGCACCACCACCGCCCGACTGCTTTCTATTTTTGTAAAGAAATATTGTTTTATGCCAAAAAACAATGTTGACAGAGGAGGATTAGTTGAGCCCAAAAGTTAAAATGCCAGCCAGAGCAACATAATGATACTGGTTTTTTTTTAAAAAAAAAAAAAGTGTGGTGGGGTGGGAAAAAAATCAAAACAGAATAGAGACTTCTACATACTAGTACAGTAAGCTTGTTAAACTTACAAGTATAAACAGTGGGTCTAACTACAAGAAGTTGGTCAGGATTATATATTTTTTAAAAAAGATTGTCACTGGGCAGTGGTGGCACACACCTTTAATCCCAGCACTGGGGATGCAGAGGCAGGTGGATCTCTATGAGTTCAAGGCCAGCCTGGTCTACAAAGTGAGTTCTAGGACAGGCTCCAAAGCTACACAGAGAAACCCTGTGTTGAAAAACCAAAATAAGCAAACAAAAAAAAAAAACAACAACAACAAAATCAGATTATCTAATCTGCTGCTAGTTAGCTACCCAGGAAATTCCCCTTTCACAATCAACAGCTAGCAACCCAGACAAAATCTATAAAATTGCTGTCTTCAGCCCTTAGACCACAGCACAGAGTTATCAACCCTAGAGAAGCCCTATCCTTGCTCCCCCAGATCCTGCTTGGGCTATTCCAGGCCATCGTGTGGCCCAAGTGACCAGTCCCTCTGACTTGAGGAGGACAGTCCAGCACAACAGCAGCTTAAATGGGGAGGTGGGAGCAGAGCAGTCGGAGTTCTGGTGGAGGGGAGGATCCTGGCAGCAGGAGGCCCCCTGTCTTGACTTGGCGGGTCTGGGCCAGGGATTCTAGCAGGCTGGCAAAAAACCACTGGAAATCAGGAAACCCAGCAGCTCCTCAGGCTCAACAGGGCTGGGGAGAAATCCAAGGAGCTGTGGAGCTCAGAGAGCCCACACCCTGGGCCAGGGTGGAGCAGAGCCTCTCTTGAGCAGGAGCTACTGTGGAAGAGAGGAAGAAGCTGCTAGAGGACTATACCGGCCTGGACCTGTCCCCAGTAAACCTTAGAAGGAAATGCAAAAGGACCAGCGGACCCCAAGCCTTAACTGTGTGCAGAATAAAATCCTACAGATTTACCACAGAATAACAGGAATCTGACAGAAACCAACACCTAAAATTACCTCAGTGAAGTCATTAGGTATGAATTCAAAGAAGTAAAGTAACCTACAGACAGATGAAAGAATTACTAGGCACAAATAATCAACTAATAAAAATAGGATTAATCTTCTCAAGACTGTTAAGGCAAGGAAACAGGAGATATGTTTAACATTGCTAGCAGTGAAAACTGTGTCTGAATTTCTAGAGTCCAACTGGTAGTAGTAACAGCTGGTGAGACACTGAACAACAACAACAAAAAGCCAATGAGAGAGAAAATAGAAACAACAGACAATGCAGAGAGTAAGACTGGAAAAAAATAACTGAGCACCAGGGGCTGTTAAATAACGTGAACATCTGGCATCAGAATCTGAAGTCTGAGAAGAAGAAGGAGATGAGGGAGGGAGTTACACAAACAGTAGTTGTAACCAAAAATTTCCCAAATTTGATGATAATTGTATCCCAGGTTTTTAAGAAATCCACGTGACTCTACAGAGTCTCACTATGACCAGTCTTCTGGACATTAGAGATAAAGAACTCATCTTCAAAGCCGCTGAGAGGAGCAGTGGATGGAGCTGAAGAGATGGCTCAGGAGTTAGGGGCTCTTGTTGGTCTTCTAGTGGACCTGAGTTCCATTCCCAGCATCCATGGTGCTAACAACCAGCTACATCTCCAGTTCCAGAAACCCTCGTCTGGCCTCTGACACTTGAACAAATGTGACATACATGTAATCATAAATAAAAGCAAACCATTTTCTAAACATAAGTCAACAGAAGTGTTTCACGTCTAGAGAAGCATGAACAACAGGAGATGCTCACTAGGAGCCAGGCAAGCCCAGCATCACCAGCCTAGTGCTACAGAACTACATTCCAGAACCGAGGAGAGATGAATACCTGCTTGCAGAAGCATTCAACAGCATGCCTTTCTCCTGAAGTGTTAAAGAAGCCGGGTGGAGGTGGCACACACCTTTATCCCGGCCAGATCTCTGGGTTAGAGGCCAGCCTGGTTTACAGAGCGAGTTCCAGGACAGTCAGGACTACACAGAGAAATCCTGACTCAAAAAACAAAACAAAAACAAAAAAAAGAGAGAGATGTTAAATGAAATTCTTTAGACAGAAGAAAATGATCTAAGACAAAAACATAGATCTACTCAGAAGAACAGAATGTGAGACGCCCAATGTGAGAACTCACAGAGGCCAGGTTCTCTTCCATATCCAGCAGCCATGGCTGCTCTTGCCCCGGCATTCTCGTCTCTCTCAAGTGGCTGCTACTTACCACTGTCTTTCTCGTAGGAAGCTACCCAGTGCCTTCCCCCTGCCTCTCCAACCCCTGCCAGAACGGGGGCACCTGTGTGGATGCGGATCCGGGATACGTGTGCGAGTGCCCTGAAGGCTTCATGGGCTTGGACTGCACAGAGAGTATGTTGGGGCTGCCGGGGCTGTGTCCCAGGGCTGGGGCAGGAGAAGTGGGGGATGGGCTGCCTATGGCAACATCCTCCCTTGGGTTATACATGCAGGAAACTCTACGAGGGAAAAAATGTGTGAGTGTGTGTGTGCTCAGTTGTTTTGTTTGGCGGGGGAGGGGGGGGGGGACGTAGGATTGGCCAGGGTTAAGAGAGAGAAGATTTCACCCATGGAAGCTTCTCTCTTGTCCCCATGCAGGAATCCCCAATGACTGTGAGTGCCGGAACGGAGGCAGGTGCTTGGGTGCCAACACCACCCTCTGCCAGTGTCCTCCGGGCTTCTTCGGGCTCCTTTGTGAATTTGGTAGGTTTTCTGCCGGATCCCTGGATATCATTAGCAGGGTCACTGGGTCTTGGAGGTGGGGGAGCACCTTCGTCAAGGAAACAAGGTCCTCGGGAGTGAGTGGGCACTGAAGGAGCTTCTTCCTTCGCAGAAGTCACAGCCACACCCTGCAACATGAACACGCAGTGTCCAGACGGAGGCTACTGCATGGAGTACGGCGGGAGCTACCTCTGCGTCTGCCACACAGACCACAACATCAGCCACTGTGAGTGGCTAGGGGCAGGCCACCAGGGATCCTGGACAGTGGTCTAGCAGGAGAAGGTGCAGGTGATGCCACACAGCCAGGATTAACAGAGATGACGACAGCTTCACTTGCATGGGTTGCAGGGGTCTCCTTCACTCCCTGGGGGAAAAGATTTTGACAAAGATACAGTACCACAAGCTACCGTCCCTCAGCCCTTAATGCATACAATTTTGTGTGACCGATGCATTTACTACCATTAGTGTAAAGGCACTGATCGGTTAAGTGCTATGGGTCAGAGATACCTTGTTGGATAGGAAGCTTGAATGCTGCTAAAATCAAAGAGCAGGAGAAACTGGGGCGGGGAGCTTGAGGCCTTAGGGCTAAGGTGAGCAATGCAGACGCAACTCACGCAGAATATATTTTAAGAGGCCTTGGTTTCAGCCAGAAGGGATGTCAAGGTGACCCTAGCAGACCCATGCTCCAGGACAGCATTTCCCCTCTTCCCCCAGCTCTGCCGTCACCCTGCGATTCAGACCCTTGCTTTAATGGAGGCTCCTGTGATGCCCACGACGACTCCTACACATGCGAGTGTCCCCGTGGATTCCACGGCAGGCACTGCGAGAAAGGTGACGTGTACGCGGGACAGGGAGGGAAGTGGGGTGAGGGATGGGGCGGGGTGTGCTCTGGAGCGCCGCTGGGGGCGGGGCGGGGCGGGGCGGGTCCGGGTGAGGAGGGGGCGGGGCGTGCGCCGTCCCTGTCTCCGCCGTCAGCACCACGGAGAGCTCCCAGCCCGCAAGCCCGCTAGCCCACAGCTGTTGGTGTGCTGTCTCATCATTCTCTCTCTTTCCCCGGAGATTCCCTTGGGTTCTTTGCTCCAAGGAGCTCTTTGCTCCATCTAGGGCAGCATGTGCCTCGCCGTCTTTGACAGTTAATTTTTTCGTCACTTTGGTCACAGCACTTCGTCACTGGTTTGCATGCCTCTCAAGAGGCTTCATTTTTCCCCTCAGCATTTTTCCAAATAGATTTTAGAATGATTATATTGAACTTAAATTTTTTTCCATTCCGATTTTGTTAAATTTAGTTTAACGTAGAGGATGCAGACATTTTACATTTATCCACTTAGAATTTAAGTGTTCTTCCATAAAGCATTGGAGGTGTTGCCATCTCCACCATTTTCCCTTCCGTGCAATAACACACGGTGACACACACTCTCACAAACCAAGCATCTCAGACATCCCCTTGACTTTGTAACCTGATGCGGTGCTATGGGCATCCCACAGCCTGGCTGTTTGGGAGAGCCAAGACCATAGTGGATATATGAGGAGCCGCCCATATCACCTCCCCTTTTGTGTACCAGGGGTGTCTGAGACCCTCGCAACTGCCTCCGTCCCTGAAGTAGCAGAGAGGGCTACCCCTGAAACCCCATCTGCTCTGAGGGGGGACCTGTGCATTTGCTAAGGTGGCATAGAAATGATGAGACAGAGACACTTGTCCCTGTAAGCCTAGCTTGGAGAGGGTGTGGTCTCTGGGAAGGATATCCCAGAGAGCTGTGAATTCTGTGGCTGGGGGTCCAGAGTAGATTCTGGAAGGGTCCTGTATGTGTCTGCTGTGACTTGGGGCTCAATTCTCCAGTAAAGAGAGAACCGGCAGGGTTAGGGCTTACAGCCTGTGAGCTTCACCCACGCTTTGTTTAAACCTGGCTAATTTAGCTCCTGCTATGTTGGGTCTTGGGGCATAGCTGAGAAGCAGGTCTGACTTCAGGCCCATCCAGTACCTACCAAAGGGTTGGAAAAGCAGAGTACAGTAACAGGAACTCTGTATCGCTAAGGAGGCTGACCCACGTTTCACCGTCTTTCTCTGTCTTTGCACATAGCCCGGCCACACCTCTGCAGCTCGGGGCCCTGCCGGAATGGGGGCACATGCAAAGAAACAGGCAATGAGTACCACTGCACCTGCCCTTATCGCTTCACCGGGAGACACTGTGAGATTGGTGCGGCCCCAGGGCAGGGGTGGATGGTGAGGGACATGCTCTGAGCGAGGGCCGAGCCAGCCAGAATCCAGCTGGCCAAGCCCTGACCGCCATACACCTGCTTCTCAGGAACACCTTCCTGAAGTCTTGTTTCTGGGACAGTGGGAACTTGGAGAGGTTGGTGTCTATAACATTTGACTGTGATAGGTATCTTCTGCCTCCAGGAAAGCCAGACTCCTGCGCCTCTGGTCCCTGTCACAATGGTGGCACTTGCTTTCACTACATTGGCAAATACAAGTGTGATTGCCCTCCAGGCTTCTCTGGGCGTCACTGTGAGATAGGTAAGGTGACAGAAGGCAGAGATCCTCTCCTGGGCACATGGGAAAACTGGATCAAGGGGCAGAACTGGGCTGGGAGGGGTAGGCGGTGAGCTGAGTACAGGACGCGGGATGCCTCTATTCAATGCATGCCTCCGTACAACGCCGAGGACCTCGAGAGAAACATGGTGAAAAGGGTCTTCTGTGTTCTTGCAGCCCCCTCCCCCTGCTTCCGGAGCCCATGCATGAATGGGGGTACCTGTGAGGATCTAGGAGCAGATTTCTTCTGCCACTGCCAGCCAGGGTATACAGGACACCGGTGTCAGGCAGGTGAGAGCCAGGTGGGTGGGCTGGGAGCGTGGCATCTTTTGCAGATCCCCTAAGAGCTGGGCAGGGTAGGGAGGGTGTCCTGGTTACTTTGCTGCTGCTGTGACCTAGCACCATGACCAAGGCAGCTTACAGACAGGTTTATTGGGAGTTTACAGTTCTTAGGGTGAGTCCATGACCATCACGGTAGGGAGCATGGCAGCAGGCAGACATGGTGCTGGGGCAGTAGCTGAGAGCTTACTGATACACAAGCATGAGGCAGAAAGAGAAAACTAACTGGGAATAGCATTGGCTTTTGAAACCTCAGAGCCTGGCTCCAGTGATACAAACTCTATCAACACCACACCTCCTAATCCTTCCCAAACAGTTCCACCAACTGGGGACCCAGTGTTTAATTATAAGCCTATGGGGGCTATTCTCATTCAAACTACTGTGGGAAAGGGAGAATCAGTTTCAGAGGTGTCAGCCCCCAGAAACCAAGCCCTGTCCCCTTGAGCAGGTGATGTAGACATCAGGCCTCCCTGGTCACATGGATAGAATAGAGACTGGACTAAGTGGACATGCTGACGCTCAGGGAATGCTGATGTTCTCTTGCAGAGGTGGACTGTGGTCGCCCTGAGGAGGTGAAGCATGCGACTATGCGCTTCAATGGGACTCACATGGGCTCAGTGGCCCTGTACACATGTGACCGTGGCTTCAGCCTGACTGCTCTCAGCCACATGCGTGTCTGCCAGCCACAAGGTGTCTGGAGTCAGCCTCCCCAGTGCATTGGTGATTCTGTGGGCCCTCAGGGATGGGTGGGCAGGGCCAACACCTTTCCCTCACAGCCATATGCAGTTATATAGAGCCTGCACGCAAGCCCCTCCCCCACCTCCTCTGTAAATGGAGGCTGTACATCCTGTGGAGACACAGGTGATTGCTATCAGCTTTGTTCTGCGCTAGTCCTATTTAGAGCATCCCTGTCCTCGGAGAGACCGTGAACAGAGTGAACAGCAGCTGCAGACCCACAACTGCAGACAAAGTAGCTGAGGTCAAGAGTTAATCCAAGCGCAGGGTCCGAAGAAAGCAGATCTCAGTTCAGGGCCCCACCCAGAATTATAGAATCAAGCTGCATTTAAGCAAAATCCTAGCCCTCACCTATGCACTGAGGGAATGCTATTCCAAGCAGCATCCTCTCCAGGGTCATCCTGTGAAGCTCTTACCATGGCTGCAAGGGCATGGCATCTGCCATCAGGAACCGTGTGATTATAAGGCAGTTCTCACGACACCTACACTGGGACAGCACTTACGACAATTACCATTTCCCAAATGCCTGGAGAAGCCCACCCACTGTGTAGCCCCACAAAGATAAAGAGTTCTGAAGAGGCCGATCTGGCCTCAGGCATCTATCCTGCCCTCCCAAGTTGCATGGTGCCTCTCTCAGTTCTACTCCCCCCCCCCCCCCGAACATGTTGCCAGGTATGGAGCCCTGGAGAGAAGAGGGTTCCAGCAAGGAAAAGAGATCCTGAGAAGCACAGCCTCCAAAAGCCATGATGGGTCCATGGGTCCATGGGGCAGCTATCAGTGGAGACAGAAATAGAGAAGATGGCTACACAGCATAAAAGGATACTCGTCCACTGTACACATTTTATATTGCACCGTATATAGTGACAGTAGGCAAAAGGTCATATGGCGTTGGCCATGTACAAAGGGATCAGTAGAAATCAAGTAGAAAGATGAGATTTTAAACCACAATAGTTAAAATAACCAGCGTAATTTATTAGTAAATATTGATGAAGAATAAGTCAGTAAGTTGAAAGACAGTCAGGAGAACTTCCCCAGAAAAAAAAGAGGAGCAGGTTATGTACCAAAGAAAGTGTAGAGCCTGGAGGGGAGCAGCAGCACCAAGCCAGAGATGTCAGAATATCATGGGGGTAACAGTAAAACCTTGACTAGCCAGGGGGGACAGCATGGTGAAGGAATCACCTCAGCATCAGACTTCTCAACAACAGTGTCAGAGGGGAGAGAGAACGTTCTTTTCAGGGGCACTTGGGTGAGGACAGACAATCACCCTGGCTGAACTGGAGGTAAACACCATGAGACCTGTAGACTCATGCCTGTGAACCTCTCAGAACTGACGGTCCAGAATGTCAAGCGTCCTTTCCTATGTCAGAGAGGCTGCTGGCACTTTTCTCTCAGGACAGGGAACCACCCTGAGTAGGGGTGATAGGGAAGGGGAGATGAGCCACAAAGCAGGGCAAATCCCGTAGGGCCGGCCCAGTGCGGCGATGGCAGAGATGCCGAAGTCCCAGAGCAAGTCTTCACACAGCCTGCCACATGCCTGTGAAACCCGCACAGGTCTGAAGACAGCCACCCCATTCTCCCACAAGCCTGAGACCTGAAACCCATCAGGAGAGGCCTGCTCCAGCCCTCAAGAATTTAAACTAACCCCCAGACGCCTCCAGCAACAGTGAATGACCCAGTAACATTAGAGGCAGGCAGATCAGCCTGCAGGCTGCAGGGCAGAGAACAGCTTTCCAGCCCAGGGAAGAAATGCCCTACTTAGGTCTGTACTGTGTTTACCCTATGCTGGAGGAACAAGAAATCACAACAGATAATCTAGGAAAGAAATTATTAAAACAGGTCTACAAATGCCCCAGATATTGGAACTCACAAGCAAGGACTTTAAAATGCCACTATTACACTATTAAAACAAAGAAAGAAAGAAAGAAAGAAAGAAAGAAAGAAAGAAACAGCTGGATGGTAGTGCATGCCCTTAATCCCAGCACTCAGAAGGCAGAGGCAGGTGGATCTCAGTGAGTTCAAGGCCAGCCTGGTCTCCCAAGCAAGTTCCAGGACAGCCAGGACTATTGCGCAGAGAAACCCTGTCTTGAAAAAAAAAAAAACAAAACAAAAAAAAGGAAGGAAAGAAGAAAGAAAGAAAGAAAGAAAGAAAGAAAGAAAGGAAGGATCCAGCTGAACGAGATAAAAAAGAAATTTAAATGACAAAATAGAGACTCTAAACTGAAAATGCAACATTATGATAATTACTGGGATAGGCTGGTTTAAACTGGATTTCCAACAGAATAGACACAGTAGGAAAAACAATCACAGCATAACAAAATTATACAAACTGCAAATCAGAGAGAAAATAATTTAAGTGAATTATAAATTGTGAAAAAATAATTTCTAAATGACAGACTATTTGTTGAGAATAGTATTGCCTTAATTCCAAACTACATAGGCATTATAAAATTTGAGATAATAGACTAATATTCCTGAGGATAAAGACAAAAAACTTTAATGAAATATTACTAAATCAAACCTAGTATCACAAAAAAGACTAATGTCTCTCTCGGCAAATCGGATTATCTCAGGAGCAAAGGCTGGCACAGCATCTGAAAGTTGATCCACATTCACAATATTAGGAAACAGGAGAAACCATGTGATTCTCATTTGCTCCAGGACAATCTCCCCGCAGACCTTAGCTATGATAAAACAAACTCCTCACCAACTAAAAACAGAAAGGCATTTTTTTCCTCAGTCAGATTAAGAGCATCCATGAAAACTCTACAGCCAACAAAGATTAATGGTGGAAGGATGCCCACCACAGGGAAAGGCCACCCCGCCATGGCTTTCCCACATTGTCCAAGAGGTCCTGCTAAGGTGAGACGCTGCCATAGAAGGCTTAGCCATCAGCAAGGAAAGGAGGGGTCAGCTGTGTGCACAGAAAACCCTAAGCACATGCTACCAGAGAAGCTGCTGACACAGCCCACAGGTGAATGAGATTACAGGAAATGAGGCAGGCTGTAGGACAGTCCAGTTCCCATAGTCTCACCGGGAACATTTGGAGAATGCTGTAGAATGGTGCTGTGCGCAGCAGCTTCGGAGCCACAGCCTCTGCGTGTGTAAGAAGAATTACGTGAAAGCTAAGGCTAAAAGGTGCAGAGAAAGCAGATGGGGAAAATGTTCCAGACAGCTAGAATAACGTGGTATGCATCTGATGATTACAGCATTTGTTTCCAGTCATTAATAACAGTGGTTGACTGGGGGAGGGACAGAGACTTACATATCACTTTTGTGTGGGAAATATTGGTTCACATCTTTTTTGCTTGAAGGCAGAAAGATTCCTTGGACCACAAAAAAAACATGCGAAAGAAAGAAATGGACAAATTGGGGTATGTAAAAATTAGGAAGTTAAAGCTTTGAAGAAAGTAACAGAAAGCGAGAGGATGTGTATGTATGACTATAGATAGGTCAGAGAGGTCTCAAGACAGAGACAGACAGAGGACCAACTTCAAGACTACTTGAAGAAGAGCTGTAGGAGGCCAACGGACATGGAAATGAGCATTTTACTTTGCAGTAATCAGGGAAATGTAACTGCCAATCAAGCTGCTAGATGCATTTTGCTGGCCACATCTGAGAAGTCCGGAAGCCTGTTGGTGAGAACATGGACAACAAATTGTCTTATCCGTCACTAGAGGGACTAGAAAGTTGCCAGAAACGCTTGGAAATGATTTGGCAATTTGCTTGTTGAGCTGACTACCAATACAGCCTATGTCCTAACATAGTAAACCTGAGAAACTCACCTATCTACACCAGGTTATTTGGAGAACTTTTACAGCAGCAGCCTTTGTAGTTACCAGAAAGAGAAAAAAAAAATCTCTAGCGCCAACTCAAGTGTTCGTCAATAAGAAGTATGATACAATCAACTTTGGAGCATTAACAGCAGAGGCAGCAGTGAACCACAGGGACCCACACAATATGGAGGTCTCCCACTAATGAAAGGTTAAGTGGGAAAGAACGCCAATCATGGCACTCTGTCAAAGTTCAGAAGCAACAAAATCAAAGCCATGTCTTGTTCAGGTAATTCAAAAAAGTTTAGGAACTGATTTGAGGCCTGGGAATGGTGGCACACGCCTTTAATCTCAATACTCCAGAGACAGAGGCAGGAGGATCTATGAGTTCAAGCCCAGACTAGTTCACAAAAAGAGTTACAGGCTGACCACAGCTACATAGTGAAATCCTGTCTCCAAAAGTAAGTTTAAAACATAATTTTAAAGAGACCAAGAAATGACAAACATTGGGTGTCGTACAGCAGGGAGGGACCTGTAAGCCGATGGGAAGTATCACTCTGGCTTCTGGTCCCAGCACTGCTAGTCACCACCATTGATTTCTTTCTTAAAATGATGTTTAGATTTCTTTACCTTACGTGTGTTAGTGTTTTGCCTGCATTTATGTGTGTACGCCATGCGTGTACCCGAGGAGGCAAAGAGAGGACACTGGATCCTCTGGAACTGGAGTTACAGAGCCACCATGCGGGTGCTGGAACCGAACCTGGGTCCTCTGTGAGAGCAATAGGTGCCCTTAAGCGCTGAAGTGTCTCTGCGGCCCCCACCATTTATTTACTTCTCAAGTGTGACATTAGACTTTTCTCAGATCGAACATTCAAATTCAGGAGCACAACTTCCGATTTAAAAGCAGCAGGTGTTGTTTTAAAGCTACAAACTGTCCCCGAAACATGCTAGTTTCACGTGTGTCTGCTACAGACAGAAATAGCAAGGTCAGACATAAGGCATTTCCTGCCAAGCTTGGGAGGCTGTGGGTCCAGCAGGTTTTCTGGGAGACTCTTGAGTGGTTCAGAAGCAACCCCAGTCATTGTGTAGCTAAGAGCCGGGCATGAGACCTCTACAGATGACCCTGATTTGGCCTAAGCATCAAGGGGTACTGTAAACTTGTCCCGGGCCTCGATGCTACTTTCTAACCATTTGCATCTAGAGTAATAATGGCTGCCTTGCTTTGTTCTTGGGATCTCTCCTTAGAAATAGATGAGTGCCGGTCTCAGCCATGCCTGCATGGAGGCTCCTGCCAGGACCTCACCGCTGCTTACCAGTGCCTCTGCAGCCCAGGGTATGAAGGAGTCCACTGTGAGCTAGGTAAGAGGTCTGCTCAAGACACTGGGGTTCCCCAGCATGGCTGCCTCGTTCCACCACTCCTTCCCTTGGACAGAGCTCTGCCTAAGTAACCATCCCATCCCCTCTGGCTCTGGAAGATCATTCTTATGGTCAGGATAGATTTTAAAACGTCTCTGTCCCCTCCTGCCCTGGGGACTGAGAGCTCATCTGAAAATCCTTGGCCTAGGAATCAGACTCAGGCCTGGGGGTGGAGCAGAGGAGATGGACATGTTGGAGAGAGCAGAGGCCTGACCAGTATATGACAGGATGAGACCTGCATCCCTCGTGCCTGAGTGGGGCGCTAAGCCCCAAAACAGAGACGCTGGCTTCTGGAAGGGCAAAGCCTGGGAGCTGTTCCCAGTTGTATGCTAGAGCGCATTCAAGCATGGAGGACAGAAGCAGCCACAAGGATGTTAGGGATGCTTCATTAGAGACAGGCAATATACCAACCAAGAAGGAACAAGTGTTAGTGACAGAAGAAAGGCTGTGGTCCAGAGTTGGGACCCCTGGGACTGAGACCTCAGGGCCTTGCTGATCGTCAGGGAGCAATTAGAATCCTGGGGGACATGCAGGGAGCTCCAGCATGAGCCAGTACCATCCCCTGTCTATGCAGAGACAGACGAGTGCCAAGCACAGCCCTGTAGAAATGGAGGCTCCTGCAGGGACCTCCCAGGAGCTTTTATCTGCCAGTGCCCTGAAGGTTTCACTGGAGTCCACTGCGAAACAGGTAGGGTTCTTTCAGGTGGGTCCCACAGAACCAGGGCTGCTAGGAGATCGGAGGGAAGTCAGGAGCCATCCTCTTGCTGGACAAGCCACCCAGGGAAAGAAACCCCCCAAGGCTGTGGTGACCTGGAGGGAGGAAGGAAACTGGGTGGTGGGAGGGATCCCCGAGAGCCCCTCCTACCCACAGGTGCACCATACCCCTCTCCTGGCCACTGCTCCTTGCCTCCCCCCTATCCCTTCTTCCCGCTGTACTCTCCTCCCTCCCCCAGAGTCCCTCCCTGCAGCTCGGGCCAACCCTTTGGGTGTTCTCCAGAGGTGGACGCCTGTGCCTCCAGCCCCTGCCAGCACGGAGGCCGGTGTGAGGACGGTGGTGGGGCCTACCTGTGCGTGTGTCCAGAGGGCTTCTTTGGCTACCACTGCGAGACAGGTAGGATCTCAGGCCTCTCTGCCCACTGGGGGCCCTTCCCTAGCCCTCTGATCTCCTTGGTGGCCCTGTTTGCTGCCTTCACCTTCCTCCACTTCCACTTCCAGGATGACAGGCTCAGTCCATAGCTCCACATCCACCCTAACTGGCTCTGCTGTCCCTGGAGAGGCCGAGCTTACAGCCCCAGGGACCCACACTCACTGTCATTTCTGGGGAGAACTCTCTCCCCTATTAGCACATGGTAGGTCCCTCAGCCAGGCCTTTCCTGGCACTGGTACTGGTAGCAGCTTATCCCTGCTCACCATTGCTCCCAGCACCAGAGTACTACTGGACAGCATTCTAGTCCATTCTAGAATGGTCTCTATCTCAGCCTGAAACAGAGCCCCTCCTGGATGGGAGCACCGACTTAGAGCCAAGACTGTTTAGGCTATGCAATGCCTGGCAGGTAGCACTTAGCTATACAAGGCACAGAGAGACAGCAGATGCCATGACACCACCCCACTCCTCCCCGGCTTACGTCACCTATGCAATAAAAGGCCTAGGTACAAAAAAAAAAAAAAAGAAAAGAAAAAACAATTCCCCTTCTCACTGCTATTCCCCCCCCCCCCAGTGAGTGACCCCTGCTTCTCTAGCCCCTGTGGGGGCCGCGGCTACTGCTTGGCCAGCAACGGGTCCCACAGCTGTACCTGCAAAGTGGGCTACACAGGCAAGGACTGCACCAAAGGTGAGGGCCAGGAGCTCCGGGAAGGAGGATGGAGGAGCAAGGGGGCCAGAAGGTAGGCCAGGGGGCAAGTGGGAAAGATGGGCAGACAGATGCTGACCTAGGTCCCCTTCTTGAGAGCAGGGAGGTGGTACCAACAGCCACACATGTGGAAACACAGACTTCCAAGGGTCATGGCAGCCCAAATGAGAAGTCTCCCTGCCAGCAATGGGCTGGGTGACCAAGCCCCAGAACCAATCTAGGTGACTTGACTGGGGAGCTGCTCTTTCAAGCTTAAAGTCTAACCCCTGCACCTTCTTTGTGTTTGGTGACAACTCTGAAGAGCTCCTCCCACCAACAGCTCTCAGGGTAGAGAGGGTGGAGGAGAGTGGGGTCTCCATCTCCTGGAGCCCACCTGAGGGCACCATGGCCAGACAGGTGCTGGACGGCTACGCGGTCACCTACGCCTCCTCGGACGGATCCTCCCGGCGCACAGACTTCGTGGACCGGAGCCGCTCCTCTCACCAGCTGCGAGCACTAGCAGCCGGCCGTGCCTACAATATCTCTGTTTTCTCCGTCAAACGAAACACCAACAACAAAAATGACATCAGCAGGCCCGCAGCGCTGCTCACCCGCACCCGTGAGTTCCTGGTGTCCTGGCCACCGCTGCCCAGGGGAGGAACCTGTCCCTACCTATGGTTTAGTGGACATCTTCTGTGTGAGGGCTGCCCTTCCTATTGGGTAGATCAGAGATCAGGTAGAAAGGAGCAGGCACTGGGCTGGGCAATGAGGAGCAGGAGATGTGGCATCAACTGAGCATCCTGTGGCCCTCCAGGACCCCGCCCTGTGGAAGACTTTGAGGTCACCAACATTTCAGCCAATGCCATCTCAGTGCAGTGGGCTCTCCACAGGATCCAGCATGCTACTGTCAGCAGGGTTCGAGTGTCCATCCTCTACCCTGAGGCCTCAGTGGCCCAGTCCACTGAGGTGGACAGGAGTGTGGACCGACTCACATTTGGGTAAGAGAAGTTGCCTCAGGAACACAGGGCTCAAGGTGTTGTTTGTGTATCCATACACTTACCATCCTTCACCTGAGTGGGGCTGGGGCCTGAGTGAGCCAGCCTCACTGGGGACATGTGCATGTGCGTGTGTGTGTACTGTCCTACCTCGTGTAGCCCCAAGCCACTACAAACAGTAGTACTCTGACAGCATTGCAAGTACCCCAGAAAGTATAAGAATGCCCTAAAATCCAGGTTTGTTCTAGGTTTGTAGGCGTGTCCTTCACAGAATTGTCCAAACAATCTTTTTATTTTTTTTTAGATTTACCTTTTTTAATTTTATGTGGATAAGTGTTTTGCTCTCACAAGCGTCTGTGCACCTTGTACCAGAGAGGACTCCTAAAACTGAAGTTGTGGATGGTTGTGAGCCACCATGTGGGTGCTGGGGATGGAACCCAGACCCTCTGCAAGAACAAGTGCTCTTACCCACTGAGCCACCTTCCCAGCCCTCTCAAGACCTCTTTCCTAAGCTTCTTGTTCCTTCTTGCAAACCTGTCCAGCTGTGCTGAGGACAGGCTGTCTTTGTTCATGGCCTCCTGGGTTCTTTTCTTCATCTCTCTGCAGACCGCCTGTCTCTTCAGTCCACTTGTTATAGACTGTGCTCCCGTCTTGCGGCACATCTCCCCTTCCATCTTGGCCTTACCTCCGATGTAGCTGCTTGGGTCTCTGTCAGTAGATCTGCATCATGTCTTCTTAGGCAGTTCCTGACCGCTTCTCTTCTCTTTGAATGTGCCATTCTTCTATCGTGATTTTGTTTTTACTAAAACTGCGCATTTGAACCAGGAGATGCAGAACTCCAGGACTGATTCTCCTCTTCCATTTTGTTTTGGTTTTAAGTGTTTTGTCCCTTGGCTTGCATGGTCACTTTCCCCATCTCCTCTGGATATGCAGCTGGTGTTGGAATACCCTGCTCCTTAATGCCTGGCTCCCCAAATAGGAAGAAAAGAAAATTGAAGTTGGCAGAGGGGCACTGGCTTTTGAATTCTCTGGATGTTACATCACTGGGTGCGATGGGTCTAGCAACAGTGGAGGGGGGCAACAACTGTGACCCCCGTGTCCTCTGTGGTCAGAAGCAGCAAACAGAGACCCCTATCACTTAGAGTGAGGTTTCTTTCTGCCCTGCCAGCATTCTGAAGGTTGCTCTAAAAGCCAGACCATGGCCATTACATGGATCCACACAGACTTTCTTGGGTTGTCCCATTTGTGGACTTCCCATCTGAACATTTGTCCTCTGACCACACTGTGGCTATGTCCAGATGCTTCTCTCATTTCACTAGGTAGTGGGGAAACCTCCCAACCCTGGACCAGTACAGTTCAAGGGCTGACCGCTGATCTGCCCCTCATGGAGGTGCCCTCAGCCACTAGCAGCAAAATACCCCATTCCTGGTCACACAGAACTAGCCACAGACCCCTATATGTCCCTCTCTTCCTTGCCCCCTTCTGTCAGGGACCTGCTGCCAGGAAGAAGATACACTGTGCGGCTAACCACCCTCAGTGGGCCTGGGGGAGCCGAACACCCCACTGAGAGCCTGGCCTCAGCACCACTGAATGTGTGGACCCGTAAGTAGACAGGCACAGTTTCTCCCTGCAGTCCTCTGTCACACTTGTCACCCTCCTGACATTTTATCCTTTCCAAAGTGTCCTTATACTATAAGCCCAGCCCTTGACCTCCCCGAGATTTCTTCCCCAAGGCAGAAGCCCTCTGCTTACAAGTTCCCCATGTTCTCCCAGGGTGACAGTGTCACCAGTAACCAAGGCTGGTTTCAGATGCAGCTCCTGATCCCTCTCAGATCTTAGGTGATGTTTTTGCCAGATGCCCTTTGACCTGACTCTTGCCTTCTCCCTCTGTCCATTCCTCGTTCAGGGCCTTTGCCTCCAGCGAACCTGACTGCCTCTCGAGTCACAGACACCTCTGCCCACATGGTATGGGACGCCCCCGCTCCAGGTATCTCACTGGAGGCTTATGTCATCAATGTGACCACCAGTCAGAGCACCAAGAGCCGCTACATCCCCAACGGGAAGCTGGTGTCCTACACGGTGCGGGACCTGCTGCCAGGTCGGCGGTACCAGCTCTCAGTTACGGCTGTGCAGAGCACGGAGCAGGGCCAGCTGCACAGCGAGCCTGCCCACCTCTACATCATCACCTGTGAGTGCTCTGACAGGAGGGGGCTGGGAGCCGGTCAGACCCACAGCTGCTGCCTGATGTTCTTGGGGTGTGGTGTCCTTGCCCAGAGGAGGCAGAATAGACAACTGGCATGGGCCATTCCTGGGAATAGAGGCACAGGCACAAGAATGGTGACTTTTTACCCATGGGTAAGAAAGGACAATTGACAAGGTTAGCAATCTGGAAATACATGTTTGTCAAGCCTTCACCAATCCAATCCAGGCAGCCTTGGCAGCAAATGCAGGACCTCATCCTGAAAGAGCCACCAAGCAGGCAACAAGGAAGAGGACCAGGCCTGACCCAAAAGGAGTCACTGAACATGAGCACAAGAGGGGCCAGAGACCTCAGGTGGCTTTGGGAGGATAGGAAGGGACATTTGGACAGAGAAGCGCAAAAGCGAAAAGCTGAGGTGGGACTTTCAGGTCCCAAGGGTGACAGGGCGCCCTGCGGGAACCCATAAGTGTCCCTCGTGCCCTTTATTACATTCTCAAACCTCACACAAGGTGCGTGAAAAGCTTCAGCGGGGCTGAGCACAGTGAGAGGACAGGCAGCCGAACCTAAGAGCAGGGCAATGGAAGTCTTCCTAGGCCCCTCCTCCTTCCTCTTCCCAGCCCAGGAGGTTACTCTGTGAACACTACAGCCACTGATACAGTGCTTATCTGCGATGCTAATTCTCAGTCCCAACCCTGCCATTCTACTAGCTGGGCTCCAGGCAAACCTGCCAGGTAGAAAGCCAGGTGGGGTCTCACTGTGAGCCTGTCATTACAACAGGTCAGAGCCAGGATGGGGCAGATAAAGGAGGAGGCAGAAAGACACTCTAGGGTGACAAGGCCTGAAGCTGCCCATCAGGAAAACTGCTGACTCACAAGGCTGTGAGTCAATCCAATCTGCTTAGCAGATGAAGGCTCTGCCAGGGCGTGTCAGGGAGCTGGCCTTCTAGGCCAGCGTGTCTGTTGCAGCACAAATGCATGGCCTCTGCTTAAAAAGGATATAGCAGATGATACAGGCTTCTTTGTTGTGATTGGAGCGGCAGCGGGCTGCGTCCTGCCACCTGGCTAGCATTACCCGAAATAATTACACGGAAACTGTATTCTTTTAAACACTGCCTGGCCAATTAGTTATAACCTCTTATTGGCTAACTCTTACATATTGATCTAACCCATTTCTAATATCCGTATTGCCACTTGAGTGTGGCTTACCGGGACGAGTCTAATGGGCATCCATCTCGGAGCGGAGAATCATGGCGACTGCCTGACTCAGCTTCTTTCTCCCAGCATTCTGTCTGTCTACTCCGCCTACCTAATTTTCTGTCCTATTAAAGGGCCAAGGCAGTTTCTTTATTTAACCAATGAAATCAACACAAAACAGAAGACTCCCACATCACTTCTTGGGCAACCTGTACCCCTCTCTGCCCTTGCCTAAGCAGAGCCGGGTGTGAGCTGCCACTTTCCTGCAGCAGAGACAGGGACACCAGGCGATCTAGTTGGTGGCTTCTTCTCCTTCCTTTTCTGCAGCCTCCAGGGATGGCACTGACAGACGTTGGCACCAGGGAGGACACCATCTACGGATGCTCAGAAACAGACCGGCCCCTGTGCGCCTTCCAGAGCTGCGCCTGCTCAATGACCACAGTGCCCCTGAAACACCAACTCAGCCGCCCAGGTACACATGCTAGCCCCGGCCCTGGGTTCCTAGGCTGTGCTCAACCCTTGACCCTTCTACCCTGTCTGCAGGTTCTCAGAGCTTGTAGACGGAAGAGCAAGAGTGAGTGCCAGGTTTGGTGGCTTACCCAGCAAATCAGTCATTGTGAGATCACGTGAGTATTGCAAACTTCCTGGCACCAACTTGGTAATCAACCCTAGTGGCCTCACTGCCCTTGCCCGTGGCGTAAAATATGTTGAGGCCCTTAAAACTAGATTGCACTAGCCTGTGAGTGCTCCACCAGCAATCACGATCCTGACCGTGTGTAAGGTTTTAGACTTCTAGGGTAGCAGGAAAGGAGCCTGCCATCCACAGTGGGAAGGCTGACCAAGTTAAGGGCACTCCAGGAGTCAGTCGCCTGTGAGAGGCCAGCCACTGAACCTCATGGGATTCCCCAGCTCCTTGGTGACTGAGAATGTTTGAGGGTGGGGAGCAGAGGGCATGAGTAGGGAGGGAGGGAGGGGCAGTGGGGAGCAGGGGGACCATGACAAAAGGACAACACCAAGCCAAGTTTGTGAGAGAGGGGAGCCTGCTGGCGGGCAGGCTGAGATGTGGAGTACCAAGGCAGAGGTCATCAGACTTGCAGACACGGGGCAACAGCAATGCCTACGGGCAGATTAATTTCTGTAGAGGTGATTTGCAGCTGGGGCCAAGAGTCCAGGCTGCTGAAAATGCTGAAAAAGAAGAAAATATACCTACCCACCCAGGAAGCAGGGAGAACCTGAGCCTGGGAAAGCGAGAGAGCCCTACACCTCAGCCAGCCACATGACAAGGAGCCCCCTTAGGAGGCAGCTCTGGAAAGTAGAAAGCATGTCTCTCAGAGGGGCAGTGGGAGACAGGGCTGGGACCACAGTGCTCTTTGCCAGTGTGTAGCATCAATGGGTGAGCTGGCAGGGATGGGCCTAGGCATGAAGCAAGGGCCATGTGGTCACCCTTAGCTTCTCCTAGAACCCACCACTCCGGTGCCGCTCAAGAACACAGAGGAGGCCCCTGAGCAGGTCCGCCTGGCCCTCCAGCTATCCAGGAACAGCAGCAAGGACCCAGAAAGTAAGTCACATGTTTGGAGGGGACGGGAGCTGGCTATTCTTCATAGCTACCACAGTGAGAACACCACAGTGGGAAGTTAGGAGGCACAGGTTCTGCCCAAGGGGCAGCTGGGCACCCCATCTGGAAAACAGTCCCCTGCGTCATGAGTGAGGGGGACAGGAGAACAGGGCCAACCCAGGAAAGACGAGTCCATCCTGCCTCTTCCCAGTAGCCACCCACACCTCGCCCCTCACCTGCCCTGGGGATGCACCCAGCCTCACTTCAGAGAGGAGGTACTGAGTCAGGCAAATCAGTGAAGAGTACCCACTGAGCAAGTCCTGCCTTGAGGGATGCCCTCCCAAATCTGGCAACCTGTAGGGCTACTCAGCCTGTACCATCTGATCAGCTTGCTCTCCCCACACAGCATAGCGTGTGTTTCCGGACCTCTGGGCTAGCAGTCGGCAGCACAAACAGATGCCTGCTCCTTCAATCGTCAGACTCTTGCTCTGTCCTCCCTCTGATCCCTCTAGGGATTATGGATGAGAGTTTTATGGATGAATCCTTTTTTTTTTTAAAGATTTATTTATTTATTTATTTATTACAGTATTCTGCCTGCATTTATCCCTGTGGGACAGAAGAGGGCACCAGATCTCAATACAGATGGTTGTGAGCCACCATGTGGTTGCTGGGAATTGAACTCAGGACCTTTGGAAGAACAGCCAGTGCTCTTAACCTCTGAGCCATCTCACCATCGCCTAGGACCCAGAACTCTTTTCTCCTCTGAGTCACATCAGGGTCTAGATTGTGTTCACCCAGCTCCAAAGAAGACCTGAATACCTGTGGGAGTGTGACCCTCAAGGTCACCTCACGCGAAAACTCTGCCCTCCAAGGACACCTGTCCCTAGTAAGGGCACTTACAGTACCAGAGGGTACATTTGCAACCACAGGGCCACTGATCCCTGAACTCAATATTCTCCCCAGCCCAGGGGCACCTGTACCAGCTCCAGTGTGTACCCTGTGTGTGCCCTGTGCACACTGGGAGGATGGTTTGTAACATGAACAATAAAAACCCAGAGGCAGATATTGAGGTTCAACCTGAAAACCAGACAAGCAAAGCAGCCAAGCCACTAGAGAAGTCTCACCTCTGCCAAGGCTGGGTGACTGCAGACTAAGCAGACAGAAACTCTCACTCCTCCCATTTATATTCCCTCTAGTGCTGGGATTAAAAGTGTATGACTCCCTAGTACTGGGACTAAAGGTGTGAGCCACCACCGTCTGGATTTGTTTCTGTATTGAAGATACCCTGCTGCTTTGGGAGTGAATAAAACAGACTCACTGGATAATCATGGGGTTTCTCTACGCAGCCCAGGCTGGCCTCTAACTTGTGATCCTCCTGCCTCGGTTTCCCAAGAGGGATTACAAGCGTGTGCCACCATACCTGGTTTGCTTCATTCTTTAAAGCCTAATATCCTGTTTTGTTCACCGGAAAGGCCTTAGGCAGGACAGCTCAGGCTGAGTGTCAGCTCCACACATGTTTCCACGAATGCAGGAAAAAGGCAATTTTCAGACCCAGGCAAGATATAGACTAAGCCCAGCATCCACTGTGTCAGACATAAGAGTTGGCGGAACTGTGCTCACTCACCTGAAAGGGTTCTTGTTAGACAAAGATGGGACAACTTGAAACCAAGAACGCTGATGACAGCTGTTCTTGTGTACTGGGCCAGATTACCAGGAGATGCAGCCTGCAGGACCAGCAGGCCTCCCCAGGCCCTGAAGCTGACACTGCCTTCCTGTTCCCAGGTGCCCTTGGTAGCTGTTCAGAAGATGCCTGTCAGAATGGAGGCACCTGTGTGCCAGGTGCCAATGCCCACAGCTGTGACTGCAGACCTGGGTTCAAAGGCAGACACTGTGAGCTTGGTGAGTCAGAGCTGGCTACTGGCCTCAGGGCAGCTGACACAGTGACCTGGGACTTGGCCCTGGGAGGCTGAGCATACAAACTGGCTATACTTAAGGGCTTCCAATCTGAGAGACTACAAGGCAGGAGCCAAAAGAGCCCAGGTAGGAAGGATGGTGGATGTGGGACCTGAGGGATGGACCATGAACCAACCACAAGGTGCATGGGGCTACTCAAGGCACTGCCCAGGAGAGAGCCTAGGAAGTCAGGAATGGGTGGTGATTGCAAGGAAACATTTCAGGCACTGGACTGATGATGAGAGGGAACATATTTGGACTGAGAACCAAAAGTGTTGGAAGCTCCCACAAAGACATAAAATAATTCCGAGGCCACAAGAACCTTAAGGAAAACCAACCTGCTGAAACTGAGCGCCCTGAGGCAAGGCCCCAAGTCCAGAAAGTAGCTGACAGATCCCCAGGCTCACACAGGCTGCAGGGCTCTTTCCAGGCAAAGGTCTCTCTTGAGAGACAGAAACAGAGCCTCCTCCTCAAGGCTGGCCTTTCTTTCTCCTCTGTGCCACACAGCCTGTGAAAAAGTGCCTCGCCCCTGCACACGGCTGTTCTCAGAGACAAAGTCGTTTCCTGTCTGGGAAGGAGATGTCTGCCATCACGTGTAAGTCAGCTCCGCCTCTGCCCTTGTGCCCTGGTGCTGTGACTTTATCCCCTCCTCCCCCCCCCCCCCCGAGGGACAGACACTGCAGGCACTGGCTTGGGCCATTTCTGTCTGAACTGTCTGTCCAGCCCATGAAGCCCAAGAACTGACTAAAGAGAACACAGGCTGAGTCCCATGCATGGAAGCCCTCACACAGTCCCAGGACCTGACTCTCCTCCTTCCCTTAAAGCCCGAACATCAATCAGCACATGAGAGCCCCAGTCCCAGCTCTACTGCTACCCCAGCGTGATGTGGCAGTGAGCAAATCACTCCTGCCGCGGTTTCTCCACCTGGACCAGGAGGAAGGACTACTTGTCTCATCTCTTGAGACCCTACCTGCTATAGCACTCATGACTCTGGGTCAGGTGTCTGAGGGCCTGCTGTGCTGGGCTGTTCCAGGCACTCAGGGAGCCAGATCCTGTGCTCTAGATGAGGACAGCCATAGCAAAGGCACATCTCTTCACAGTATAGGAGAAATCAGAGAGTGCCCAGGAAGGGAGAGAGAGAAAAGCGTAAGACAAGGAGAACAAGGAATAAAGGGAACAGGAGTAGGCTTCATGGGAGAGGGACACTGAACAGACATGGAGGAGGTGGAGCTATCAGAGAGAAAATAATGTTCCAGACACCAGGTACATGTGTTGCAAGGTGCCCAATATGTCTGAGGAACAGAGGCCAACAGAGCAGAGAATAATTTGGGAGCAGAAGACGGGGGGGTTCCTGGGATCTTGGAGACCCTCAGACGGACTGTGGCATTTGTTCCCCATGAACTGCAGAGATCCTAAAGGGCTCTGTGCAGACGGTGATGTGTGACCACGCTGTTCAAGCCCCTCTGGATGCTCGGAGGAGGAGGAGGAGGAGGAGGAGGAGGAGGAGGAGGAGGAGGAGGAGGAGGAGGAAGCAGGTGAAAGAACAGAAGGAAAAGGCAGAAAGTGTCCCCAAGCTTGAAGCAAAGCCAGGCTTAGACAGAAAGGGAAGAGGTCAAAGGTCCTAATCTGTATGGGTTTGGGGAAGCAGCCTTGACCACCACTGACCCTGGACCCACAATGGCAATCTGATGTCTGCACCTACCAGCCCTCCAGCTTCCAGCTCTTCTGGTCACACCAGAGCCTGCCTCTGTTAGATGCCCCCGTCATGTGAGGAGAATCCTTCATTCAGCAAACTTTCTGTCCTGTTCTTGTAACCTATATGTATCTTTGAAGAGACTCCCCTTAGCTAACAGAGATGAGTCTTGCTTATATTTTTTTCTGATTGGTCTTACTAGAGTTTAAATCACTTTACAATTATCATAATGGGTGGTGTGGCTGGGTTTAAATCTATGTATCGATTTATATTTTTTTTTCCATCTGAACCTTATTGCTTTTTCCTCTTCTCTGGCTTGGTCACCGATTAGAATTGTTTCATTCTGTCCCGTAGTCACTCTAGGATTTTCAATGCACAGCTTCAGTTTGTCTCCACTTACCTTGAGTTACTTGCATACAACTGCAGTTACAGGAGACTTACTCCCATCTACAGCAGGAGACTTCCTTTGTGTAACTTAAGATTCCATCTGGTATAATTTTCCTTCTCTGGAAAACTTACTGGAACATGTCTGAGGACACAGACTCATAGGTGATGGTTCTCTGCTCTCGCTGGTCTGAAAGACTTTTGTCTAAGCCTCACTTTGGGCATATTTACTAAGTATAGGATGATTAGTTGACAGCTCTGATTCTTGTTTCAGCGCTCCAGGTTAGAAGTATATCTTTATGACAACATACTTGGCACACACAATGAAAAAGGAGGATTTATTTTGGCTCGCGGTTATAGAGGTTTCATTCCATGATGGTGGAGGTCAAGGTGAAGTGGAAGAGCTCCTGGCATGGTTCCCTGGCTTTCTCCTTTATCCACTTGTACAGTCTGTGGGATGGTACCATCCACATCACGGCAGCCTTCTCTTCAAACAAACACCCCCAGACACAACCAAGGATGCTCTTCACTACCTCGTGTGCTTCTAGGTGCAACCGAGTTGACAAATTTAGCCCTGTCACCACCCATGTCTTCTCCATCCCTGTGGCGCCTTTTAAATTTTCTCTTTATTGCTGTTTCTGGCCAGCTTGATCATGTGTTTTGGTTTTGATAGTGTTTATTTTTATTCCCTGAGTATTTATTTATTTACTTATTTTGAGGTAGAGTTTCTCTTTGTAGTCCTGCCTGTCCTGGAATTAGCTAATGTAGACCAGGCTGGCCTCAAACTCACAGAGATATACTTGCCTCTGCCTCTGGAGTGCTGGAATTAAAGGGTTCCTTCTCTGGAATTTGTTAATATTGTATTTCTGGGGCTTTAGCTTTTGTCAAATCTGAGCCATTGTTCTTATCTTCTTTGTTCCTCCATTTCTCTTCTCTCCTAGAGCTCGATTATGAATATATTTAACTAATATTGTCCCTCGGGTCACTGTAGATCTTTCCATTGTCTTAGTGTTGTGAATGGTGTATATGTGTGTATATCTATGCTTCCTGTAGGGTAGTTTGCATTGCTATGTGTTCAATGCCACACACCTTCTCTTTTGCATCATCTAGTTTGTTGTCAATCCAATTCAACAATTCAACTGCAACTTCAGATACTTGTTGATGGTTGTTGGATTAGATTTTTTTTGGGGGGGGGTCACTGTTTTTTTTCAGTCTTAAGATTAAACCCAAGGCTGCCCAGCAAGTACTGTGCTACTGAGCCCCAACACAGACACTGTGTTTATCATTGTCAGCCACTTCTCTCTTCATTTTGCTGATATTTTTCTTGAGCTTATTGAACATGTGGGACAAACAGGTAGCAAATACTTCAGAGTTTCCTCTCATTTGATTTTTGGTTCTTATGATTTTTTTGAATGTATAATTTATCAGATGTTGAACATTATAAGTTTCATATTACTGGGTGGTGAATTTATTTGAATTCTTTTCAAGAAAGAGATTTTTGTTGTTTTGTTTTCTGCAAGGCAGGCTTCAATTACAGTTTGGTCCTTTTGAGGATTTAGGATGGCTTTAGAAACTTTATCTAGGGCTAATTTCACCCTCTTCTGTGGCACTATCTTCCTGGAGTCAAAAAAGATCTTAGCACTCTTGGCTCAGGTCTGGCCTTGCTGCTCAGGACTCCAGGCCTGTGTGTGCACAGCTCACCTCTCATGGCAGATTTCCAGACTGCCCCCATGGATCCCTCTACTCCAGAGCACCCCCAAGTTCTAGCTGCCTCTGCCTCTCCAACTCGAGCCTGCCTCCTCAACACTGACCACTGCCTACTCCCAGCAAATGCTCCAGCCTGCCTTCTCACGTTCCCCTCTTCTCAGGGCATGCGATTTTTTCTCAGCTATGCCCCCTCTCCCCTCCAGTTCTCTGGTAGCTGAAGCTGAAGGTCAACTCCAGGTCCTCTGTTCCCTGGCAGCCAGAAGTCCTCCAAACGGGCCTCCCAACTAGTGCAGGCAGGAGCTTCTCTGCCAGCTCCCTGGTTTTCTTTTCAATGGCTCAGACATAGAAACTCTAACAGGCCCAAGCACAGTCCCATTCCCATGGAATGCTGAGAAGATCTATGAGTATATCCCGCTACACGTGAAACGGAGACTTGGGAGCTAAACAGGCTTGCTGGCATAGCTAATTAGAAAATGGGATGGGCAGGCTTCATCAGGCCTCCTGGTCCATACTGCCTGCCTTTGAGGCTTCCAGGGCCAGACTTCATGACTGTGTTCTTGAAACATTCATAGAACAGAAGAGTGGGTTTCCTGATTTGCTTTCTACTATTGTGACAAAGAACAACCAAAAACAACTTGGGGAGGAGAGTGTTTATCTCAGTCTTTACGAAGGGCAGGAACGTAACCACGACAGAAACATAGAGTCAGGGACTAAAGCAGAGAGCACAAGGAGTCCTGCTTACTGACTTGCTCCCCACACCTCACTGGACAAGCTATCTTATACCATCAGGACCACCTGCCCAAGGGTTAAACTAGCCACACCAGTCTGGACCCGCCCACATCAACCATTAGTCAAGAAAAGGTTCCTACACACTTGTCAGACTATAGGCCAATCTGACAGAGGCATTTCCTCAATTAAAGTTCTCTCTTCCCATATGACCCTATCTTGTGCCAAGCTGACCAACAAAACAAGCAAGCAAGCAAACAAATAAACAAAACACTAACTAGCACACTGAGTCAGACCGTCCCAAAGCCTCAGGACAAGTGGCCTGTCCCAGCAATGTCCTGTCACTGAAATTTCAGTGAGTCCTTTCACCACCTTGGGTTTGTCAGCATTTGTGAAACGGTACCCTGAAATGAATACATCTTTATGCACGCTAGACTTTACGTACACCCCCAGTAACACTGTATTAAGAAAATAGTGGGCTCTGCCTCTGTCCAGCCTAGATGAAACAGTTAGACGCCTCTCCCGGCGTCTGGTTTCACAGAGTTTCCTTGTGACAACAGGTATAAGAAAGTCTACAAAGTTCACCAGGACATCTGCTTTAAAGAGCGCTGTGAGAGCACAAGCCTCAGGAAACCCCAAGCAGGTACCCCTGGGGCCAGGCTGCCTCGTGCAGTTCTGTGGGTGCGTGGGTAACGGTAGTGACAGGGTTGGAGCAAGCCAGGCTGTTTGCCCAAACACCTCACGTGCGGCTGTACCCTGCTCGGAAACGGATGCCCACACCCGCACGTGTGGGGGCACAGACAGGCCCAGCGGTGTCCGGAGGCCGTCACTCCAGACAGAGAATCGGTGCTGTGATGGGAAAGCACAGGATGTTACTGACAGACCCAAGTGTATAAGCGCAAGTTTAGAAGATCCTTTTACACCCACTCACAGCCAAGCTTCCCCCCAGTTTAAGGTAGTCACAAGCTGCATCGCTGTTTACGATCTTGCTCAAAGTTCTACTGATGTGGGAGTGTCATATATCAATCTGTTGATTTCATTGGTTAAGTAATAAACAGACTGCTTGGCCTCATAGCTTAGAACATAGGTGGGTGGAGTAAACAGAACAGAATGCTGGGAGGAAGAGGAAGTGAGCTCAGTCTCGACAGCTCTGCTCTCTGGAGCAGAGACGCCATGCTCCCCTCTCCAGATGTGATAGCTCTGCTCTCTGAGACACACGCGATGAAGCTCCGACCCAGGATGGACGTAGGCTAGAATCTTCCCGGTAAGACCGGGGCTACACAGATTATAAGAAAATGGGCTAGTCCAGGTGCGAGAATTAGCCTAGAAGAGGCTAGATAGAAATGGGCCAAGCAGTGTTTAAATGAATACAGTTTGTGTGTTGTTATTTCGGGCATAAGCTAGCCAGGCGGCTGGGGTGCTGGGGACGCAGCCCCACCGCTCTTATTACAACATTCTACTGAGAGCATCATGTTCCGACAATGAGAGTCCACCTTCAGGTATGATCTCCATGACCACCTGAAGCCACATGTCACATCCTTGCTCTGCATAACTAAATCTGAGGAGAGGCAGCTGCAGCATGCAGTCACCAGGAGCGCTGCTTGACCTGAGTGTGTTACTACCTCCCAGGGCAGCTCTTGCTTGCTTCCTTCCACACTCTTCCCACAATGCCAGGGTACTTCTGCTCAATCCCCATATGCATCCACCAGACTGAGAGGGCAGATGCCGGGCAGTCTGTATGTGGACTTGGCTGGGTTATAGATGAGGAACAGAGAAGATTAAGGGTGGGGTTTAAGGCGCACAAGGTTCTTTTTCACTAAACTGGTGTTCTTCATTATTTCAGGAAACAAAGTAACAGTCAAACACTGAAGAAATCTTAAGGAACACTCTCCTTCATACCAAGATCTGTTGAGAACTGGAGACACCATCACACCCAGCACCTTGAGCACTGAGGTCCTTTACCAGACACTGATGGCACAGACTCAGCACTGTGCTCTTACAGACCCAACCAGGAAGGCTCCAGAACTCCCTACTATAGCCTCCCTCTAGATACAACCTGGTCTGGCCGTGAATATGAATCTGCTTTCAGGTGGAAATGAGACTTTAAGGGGGAGGGGCAACTCTCTCTCTCTCTCTCTCTCTCTCTCTCTCTCTCTCTCTCTCTTTCTCTCTCTCTCTCGGCAGATCAGTTACAGCGAGGCACAAGAATCACCTGGCCCCTTTGGGCAGTGGGCCTGGGTGGTAGAAGGATCAAGGATGCCAAACAACCCTAGGGGTGCTGGGAAGGCTCTAAGGAAGTACCCCCAACCCTATGAATGGCATTCTACTGGTGAAATAGGGTGGGAACCTTGTCATGTAACACCCAGGTGATCCTAAATGCAGCCTCTCATTGGGGGGTTAGGGTGGATCCTGGGATTCTAAGCACCAATATCCCTGAAATGAAAGAAACTTTGCCTGCTTGCTCCAGCATGCCCCACCCACCTCCCCATGTATAAACTGTGAGATGTTAAAGGGCATTGGATGTTTTTCCACAACAGTCTGGAAAATACTGGGTTACTCTGTGGAGACCCATGTATAGCCCAAACTCAGCCCCACAGTGACTTCCTATTGATGTGACATAATTGGGAACAACAGATTGGCTGGCCCAAGAAAATTTACTCCCCTCCCTTGGGAGAGCCAGAACAGTTCACTTTTCCTGTGTTGGGAGAGAGGCGTATCTGGAAACTAGCCACATCAGCAGTCAGCTTTTTCTTCTACAGTGGAGGACATGAAGGAGAAATGTCACCCAAAGGCCTAAGAACAACCACAAACAAAGGAGCTCCAGGCAACGCTCATCCTAAGGAAAAATGCTCACAGTAAGGGATAGGACATGAGCAAAGGTGATCGGGGCATCAGAACAGCAGGCTCTCGGACATCAAGCAGCAGGGCCTTTGCATCCTCACCGTTTCTACTATGAAAACCCTGTATGAAGAGCAGCTGACAACACTCAAATCCTGTCCGCTCCACAGCATCACCTTTCACCTCAGCCTCCAAGAATGCAAACACAAAACACCTCCAACACTTGTGAGCAATTTAAACCCACGAAGATCAAGAGTCAGTCCAGACATTATTTGGTTTTAAAATATTTACATTGCAATACGTCACTTGAAATATCAATGTATCTTTTAAGAACTCACCCAGAATGCCCATTTTTATAAAAATTAATAATCCCCAGCTACTTACCACAGACTGACTTATAGAACACTTATTTCCAGAGCAACAGGGAAAACAGACAGGAAGCACGCATGCGCGCGCGCGTACACACAGACAGACAGACAGACACACTCACACAAAACACCATTCAAGGCTGCCCTAGGAAAACGACCCAATGCCATCACCAGAAGGCAGCAGGGGACCAGCAGCCTATTGATTCAAATTTAAAGGACGGGCTGAACCCAGGTGTCCTCATAGAGGTTCCTGTGTTCTCACTTCCACCCTCTGCATCACAGCCAGCTGGAATTCTGGCGATGCAAGAATGAATACAGGTCCCCTGGGGAACAGTGCCTGCTGCCCCCAGAGAAAGATAGTGGGCATAAAAAGGAGTCTGTTTGCTGCTCCTGCTTCTAAAGGGTCAGCAGGTGCTGGTAACACTGCCCACCTCAAGAATTTTCAAGATGCAGAAAAATGAGGTCTGAAACCTAACTTAAAAATGACAGGAGACAAGTTCTTGGCTGTAGTCAGTCTCCCCTAAGACCTCTGTCCTCAGATTTCTAGAAGATAGACAACCAGATCCGCACACCCAAGGATTCCTGCAAGGGAAGCCCTGAAGCATCTGCAATCTTAACCCAGGCTGCTGTTTGTGCAGCTGTAGCCAGTACCTCTGTGAGCAGTGAGTGTGCAAATTACCTGGGTTAGCAGGCTTGGTCAGTGGTGCTTCTCTATGCTCGGAAACCGCCCCAGATTCCAGCATCAGAGAAGTGTCTCTTGAACCCTCAAAACCTCAAGAAGAAAAGACTCAGCTTTCACAAGAGATGCAAAAAGGGCCACATGGAAACAGAGGAGCTCTACCCTGCTCCTCTCGTTTATACTGACCTTAAGAAATGCTAATCACTACTACTACAGAGTTTAGACACTTGGTCTACAGCTCAGGAGTTGGCAGGGCAGACAAATGCGTTTTCAGATGGCGTGACCTCTCTGGCACCCACCCAACTCAGACAGACAGCATGGCTGTATCCCATTAACTCTTCATCCACAGAAACAAGCGGTAGGCCACAGTTGGCAGTACCTGGCTTAGATCTAGACCTCGGTCTTCTGTACAGAAAGACATCTCCTGAAGGACAAGCTGCCATCAAGGCATGAAGACCCCTGAACGTCACAGAAGAAAAGGAGCCAAGATCCTTGCTCGGAAACCTAAGCTATGCATCCACCATAAAGCAGCAAGCGCTACTCTGTTCACAACTGACGGGAGCACAGAGTGGCACAGGGCGGGCAGGCTCCTGGAGACAGGGCCCAAGGCGTCTTGTAATCCGTGCCTCAAGATGGTCTGGCCAACAAAGACAAACACACTTCACCCAGCCTGTTTTCCACTCTACTCTCAACAAGGCTCTAAGCAGCTGCCTTCTCCTGTAGTGAGGTTGGAAAAAAGATCCCTCGAGAACAGAGCCTACCTGACTGGAGATCCAGTACCAACCAGAGGCCTCCTCTCCTCAGTTCATAAAAACGTACTTTGAAGAAAAACATTTATTTTTACCAAATATTGCTGAGCCTGTGCATTATGCAATTTTTTCCTTTTCATGTCAAAAACTCACACTGGCTTGTCTCCAGAGACCTGGGGGGCCAAAGACAGGGCTCAGAGACCAGCTCCACAAACATCTATGTCAACTTCCATGCGACAGTGAGACCTGCCACCATCCCGCTACAGAAGCTACAGCATTAGCAAGACCAAGTGACATCGCTGGAAACGTAGATGAAACCTTTATAGTAATGACCTCAGGAGCCTCACCCACCAGGCCAACCCTGCCACATTCCCACTTCCAGTTGGAGCCTATGTTTCAGACAGGACCCAGCCCACTGAAGGCAGAGTGTGGAGCTGGCACACAATCCTTCCAGTGTTTCCCAGGGGAGACAGACTTGCTGATGCTGAGGAAGTTGTGGTAACATTCCACACATGCCTCTGCTTTCTCACACGTCTTTCGGAAGCAGATGTGTGTCCTTCCAAAACAGTCACTGTCCATTTGGGAAATGTCACAATAGAATCAGAAGACTGACAAGGTGTAAAGATTTATTTGGGGGCCAAAATGAAGACGCAATCATGAGTTGTTGGGCTTACCGTTTGCTAATCCAAACACGGGATGAGCAGACACCTAATTAAGCTCAGGGTTAGCATTCTATTTAGCTCTGATGGAGCCCAAGGCCAAATATCCTACATTCAGGGACAGTGGAGGTCACTTCAGTGCCACAAAGTAGAAGAGTGAGCAGCAAAGAACGAGCATCACTGTTCTCAAAGAGCTTTGTCTATGGCCAAGAACAGCCACGAGGCATCTCCCTTCTCTACTGCCCTCGGGCTGCTGGAGGTAGACAGGACGGCTTGCTGTGTCTTACTTTGTGTCACGAGTCCAACAGGCAAAGACAGGGCCTTGCCAGGGGTTGGCCTGCCTCACAGACCTCTGATTGCATGGGAGTCTTGGGATGACGGCTTTTCTCTGTGAATGCTCTTCTCTTTGAAGTCAGGCTCTAGGTGAGTCCAAAGCCTCCGCGCCTTGGTGCTGATCCCTCACAAAATACCCCTCAGATCCAGCAAGATCTCTACTTTAGACAGAAGTAATTATGTCAAGCCCATTTACCATCCAAATGTGGTACGGTCACAGTACTTTACTGGGCCAGGTCTTGGAGCAGTTTCTCAGCTGGGACACTGCTTTGTGGACCTGATCATTCATGTGCAGTGCAAGGGAGGGTATTTTGCTGGCGTCTACTCTCAAGATCCCAGGGCCCTGACACACAGAAAAATCTCCAAAGATTGTCAGATATCTTGAGAACCAGGGCATCCCCATGTATGCATTGGGTTCTGTCTATATAGGAAACACAAGACCCATAGAGGGATTTCACATGACTATTAAATGTCACTAAGTAGAAAAAAAAATATTACCAAGCATTTCTGATTTTGGCTCTACCATCAAAAAAGCTTTCTGCATCACCAGCCCTGTGCGGTTTCCTGAGGAAGGAAAACTTCCTAGGAGGCCTCAATCCTCTGAGCCTTAGCTCCATCAAACCAGGCCTCTCCTCAGAGCTTACCTCATGCCAGCACCAGTACTGAACAGCACTCAAGACACTCACTGTGCTCCCCAGGGTGATATCCATGCCAGGGTATCTGAAAGATCCCTACAACAAACCAAAATCAGACCTGGGGTCTGTGTTCTCCATCTATCACAGAGAAGGCAGAAGGGAAGTCCCTCAGAGACCACCCACAGCCCCTGAAGTGCTGGTTCTGAGCCCGTTCACTATGGCAGCACAGGCTAAAGGGCCAAAGAACCAGGCCTTGAAGTGGCTATTAGCCAGGAACCCACATGAAGGCCAGCTTGCCCAAGCAGGAAGGGTCAGCATCTCACAGATGAGAAGAAGGTTTTGCTAGTCCAAAGACTGCAAAACTAAACACATTACTAACCAACGCCTTTCACTCTGCTGTACACTGAACGCGTTAGAGGGCCGTGAAATGTCGGATTAAAAACATGACTATTTTGTGGAAAACCTGCTACTTGTTTTCATAAAATAAAGTGCTATGACATACTACCCTCATGTTACATTCTCATGATTTTACCTTTACTACCACAAGGAAACACGTAGCGACTCTTGAGCCGGAAAGCACCTCTTTCTCTACACGATTTCAGAATTAACACCAACGTATTTCAACAGAGAAAAAGATACCAAACTTGGATGGGTGGCATCCCCTGGATTTTAACAGCTGAGTCCTTTATTTAGGATGTAGTGGGCCTCCAAAGAAGCCACTAGATTGCAACAAAGCATCTCCTATTTGGTTTGATGTACCTACATCTACAGTGGATCATAACAGTTTCTTTCTTTTTTCTATCAAATGACCAGTGTTAGTATTAAAAAATGCTCGAAGATCCAGGTGATCGCCCCAAAGCTTTGAGAATACGGGAATGATCTCCGGCATCTCTGGACCCTTTTGTCCCATCCTCCATCACAGCTGCTCTTCATCTTCCTCCTCCTCCTCCTCCTCCTCTTCCTCCGATGCATGGCTCTCAGATTCCTCTTCTTCTCTATCCAAGAGCTTTTTAAAAACCTCAAACTCCTCGGCAGAGGAACGTGCTGTCCTGGCCAAAAACTCAGCTTCAGAAACCCTGAGAATGTCCTTCAGTAAAGGGTTAGGGATCTGTGTCTGTCCCTTCTTATCAGGGGTTTGGTACCGTCCAAGGCGTTCCAGGTACATGTGTCTCTGCTTGATCTTGGTTATTGAATACTGTAAGAAATCATTCTTGACTATGTCCAGATGCTTAAGTCCCATCCTAAAATATGCATACTGGAAGATACAAAGATGTTTAGGAATTTATGTAGAGAACCTTAAAGCCTATCGTTCAATTCAAAACAAACTTTGGTCCAAAAACATTAGAAAAGAATTGCCTGTAGCTACTCTCTAATACCAACACTTGTGTGAAGTCTGACAGTTTTCAAAGCATTTCAAAATTCATGCTGAGAAAAATGCTGCAGAAAACAAATGGGTGTGTTAAGTTTTCTTTAAACAGGGGAACAAAAATTATGAGTATAGAAAAATCCAACCCAAAGATGCTTTGGAATTTTAAAAAATGTATGAGTGCACAATTATTTGAGTATGTTACAGAATGCCTGTGAAGGCCAAAGGCCAGCCTAGGTGGTTTACAAGCCTCCAGGAATTCGCCTGTCTCTACCCCACAACTCCCCCACAGGGGTGCTGGGGCATTGCACATTCAATTTTGACAGGTCCCCAGAATCTGGTCCTCATGCTGGCACAAGGGTTTTCATTTGTCTGTCTGTTTGTTTTGAGGCAGGGTCTCTACATAGCCCAGGCTGGCCTTAAACTCAGAGGTTCACCTGCCTTTGCCTCCTGAGCTAAGATTGAAGGAGTGTACCACCCTTCCCAGCTGCACAGGTGCTTCTGACCTTACCTGTCACATCTGCTGTCACATTCTCCAAACCCCCACTCACTCTAAGGGTGGGAAAGTTTTAGCTTTCTCAATAGTAGTTATTTCAGAGTACCTACTTGGACCTGGAATGGGGCCAGGTCCCTCTCTGTCAAGGAAGTAAAGCAGAATGACAGGTTTGCTTTGGGGGGAGAAAAGAACTGAGCTGTACTGCTCTAGAACAGAAGCTCTGAGCTCTACTCAGAGGCTTCTTGTCCACAAAGCTGACCTTACTCAACTTAAAAATCTGAAGTCAAGAGTCTAGTCACTCATTCTCACCTGGAATTTGTACTCTAGTTCACTGGGGTCCGCCTGAAGAACTCCTGGGCACCTGTGTAAAAGCTCAGTGATTTGCTGTGCTGTGAACATGCACCTCTCCTTGAGGACCCTCACAACACCATCAATGTCCCGCTGGCACATGGTGAAAACCTCAGGGCAACTGTGCAGCACTCTCTTCAGTTTCCCTGTAGGATAGTAAGAAAAGAAAAGAAAAGCATGTAACTTCAGGTATTCTGGAAAGCCAAGGGCTGAACAATAGTTAGGGGCTGGTAGACGGGTCGGTCAGTGGGTAAAGGCGCCCGCCACCACACCTCATAAATTGAGTTCAGTCTCCAGGACCCACACGGTGGATGCAGACAACTGACTCTCAAAGTTGTCTCATGGCATCCATGTAAGCCCCGGAACTTGTGCTACCAAACACACTCACAGATACAATACACACAGAAGGATCACCTCCCTTCATAGGATTGCTGACTTCAGACTCTGCCTTCTATAAAGCACCGTGGAAACACGTCCTCTCAGATCCAGCAGCCCACACTACATCCCTAACCTGGCCTCCGAGTGTCCTCTCGTGAGCCACATTAGTAACTGTATCCAGACAACTGCTATAAACAGGAGCTGTCCCAGACAGGTGGAGTAAATGGTCTTCTTTTAGTAGTTGGACCAATTTTCTTAGGAATATTGGCAAATTTAATAGCTGGAAACTTAAAAACTACTTAGACTATTAACTATTTTTCCCAACAGCATAGTTGGTCACTGTCTCTGCTTGACTGCTGTGTGAAGAGGAATTTCCAAAGGGCAAGCTATTTTTGTTTTTTGTTTCTTTTGTTTTGTTTTTGAGACAGGGTTGTAGTTGGGGCTGTCCTAGAACTCACAGATCCGCCTGCCTCTGGCTTCCAAGGGCTGGGATTTAAGGCACGTGCCACCATGCCCAGCCACCACGCCCAGCCAAGGTGTGCACTTTGCTTTCATCTCTCAAGCTGTGCTTCAATACTGAGCTTAGACTCAGAAGACACTACAGGAAAACCTTTTTTTCTTTTTTGCTCATCTTCTAGAGAAGGCCTACAGAGGTACCAAACAGTGGACTCTAAGCCTCCCCTACTTGGGTGGTAAAAGTCTTACCAGGAACAGTCAATAATAAAAAGAAATAAAAACTGGTCAAATGGGTAGACATCACTGGAGATTTCCATCTCCCTTCTCCAGAGGAATGACAACAGTTAGCAGGAGGCCACTCTGCAGCTCTCCAGGAACCTGGCACCACCAGGTCTAAATTTTTGTACAGGATGTTTTTGCAGTGGTCACCCATATGCATACACATATCACTACCACATAGCAACTCTAAGCATCCAAAAACAGACTTCATGTTCCCACTGTTCTGGAGCTCGAGACCTCAATGAACAGAACACATGGGACTTGTTTTGGCCTTGGTTCTCTCCTCCTGACTAATCTCCCCCCATACCTCTTACAACACCTTCTGCAGAGGGCCCATCACACATCTCCTCGGAGAACCTTCCAACCTCACTTCACCTTACTAAGGTGTGTTTAGCCCACAGACCACATGCATCCCAGGATAGCTAGGAATGCAACCTAACACATTTGTATATGACCTGTCATGTCACAATATCAGAAGGCTGGACTAAGGCAGGCTATTTTTTTCACTAACTCCGACTCCTCTCACACTACAAAGTCTGCTGCTTCATCTACCTTCTCCAAGGCCAAGCTTCCGCAGGTAACTGGACCGCTTCTTCATTTGCAATGGAGACAGTTTCAGTAACTGTGGACTTTTCTTCAAAGCCATAAATAAAGGTTCTGGGTGCAATCCCAAGAGTAGAAATTCTGAAATTATGTCCAGCAGCTGTTGAGGATGGACGCTTGGCTGTATATTGAGCAAGATGTTAATGTGGGCTTCATCAAAACCCATGTCCTGGAGGGAACTGATGACGTTTGCAAGCTCCGTGGACTTAGGATCCACAAAAGTCTTCTGCTCCTCATGAAGACACCGAACAATATGTGTCCTATACTCTGGTTCCTGCACATACGTTTTCGGTCTAACACAGGAGGACTCTTGAAGGTTCTCTCCACTGGGTACTGTAGTCAGTTTGCAAAACAAAGAAGGACCCATCCTTTTACGGTCTCTGAGATGAGGGGTCTGCCTGGACAAACAGGTCCAGGAGCAGGTCATTAGTCGGTGCCAGTCAGGAACCTGTAAGACAGAGCCAAAATAGAATTAGTTCCACCTCGGGATAATAACTATCACAAGATCACAGGGCGCGAGTATTTTGGACCTTGGCCCATAAAAGCTAACGGTTTTGGTAAACAATCTGTAAAACCCCTGGGCCTAAAAGGTCTCCAGAGAAGGAAATTAACATATAGATGACAGCACTTATAGAAGATATAGGAGCCCGGCACAGCCAATACTCTGAGCTTTATGGAGGACTCCTATTCATTAATATTTGGCTGAAAATTCTGAACCGCAGACAAGCCACCAGACAGATGCACTACCTAAACTTATTCCAACAAAGGATAATTGTTTCGATGCTACCTTTCATTAAAGGAAAAATATTCCTGGGCAGGAGTCTGTCAATTCTCGGTGTCTGGGACTAACTAACACATAACAAATTAGGCATCCGATGGCCGCCAGACTGGTCTCCAAAACCTCTCTAGCACGACCCGCCTCCCTTCTCTCCGCCATGGTGGTCCAGGTCTCCTAAGCCCATAGCCGCCACATTAGCCGAAACTCCATAGAAGCCAGTGGCTCATGTCAGGACCAGGCTGTCTATGCACACACCACCCGGGAGCGCTATTGCCACAAAGCGGCCGGACGTGGTCACAAATAACCTGCGGCAGGGCCTCCTGCACGTCCCGCCCGCGGCTGCTGTGACTCCCGGACCTATGGCAATCTCACCCGCCTTCCTAGAGCAGCCATGGAGCCCCAGCGGCGAACGTAACTGGATCGCCGGAAGGGGCGGTCCTTCCTGGCCCACAATGTCCGTCCTCCGGTCTGTGTCCGCCGCAATCCTTGGAGCCAGCGTTCCTCTGTTCCGCGGCCAAGCTTTTAATCCCCTGGGCTCTTTCCCGGCGCCGCGGCATGCAGATGCAGCTTCCCTCGGCTGTGCTCTGCCAGGAACAAGCAAGACCACAGGGGTTTCTCAACTGCCCTTCCAAGTACGGGAGAAGCTAAGTTCACACCATTATTTCCTGTCGTAAACCACACTTACAGGCGCGCCGGGAGAGACGGAACACAAAAACGAAGCAGGTGTTAAAAATTCTATAAGCCCTAGTGCATGAACTGGTTTTTTGGAGCCCATTCCCTATGGAGAGATACCTTGCTCAGCCTCGATTCAGGGAGGAGGGGCTTGGTCCTGCCTCAACTTGATATGCCAGACTTCGTTGACTCCCCATGGGAAACCTCACCCTTTCTGAGGAGTGGAGTGGGTGGGAGGTTGGGTGAAGGGAAGACCGGGGAACCGTGGTTGAGATGTAAAATGAAAAGAAAAAAAACGTAAATAAATTTTTAAAGAAGATTCTATAAGGTCAAATAACCTAACTGTAATTGTGGAGTTAGGATGTCGCAGACCAGAATCAAATTATCATGGATTATCTTTTAGCCTTTTTGAAATTCATTCACTGTCCAACTAAACAGTTTTGTGACTATGAAGGCCTTTAAAATATATTCTTAGACCACCACTGGTTCTCACCAATCCAAAAGCTAATCATATAATTAGTTAACACCTAAAATACTGTAGGTAAATGTCTTTGCAGTCACCTTCCTATCTCTATCCCTATCAATCAATGTGTCCGGTAAATGCCTTGATTATGACTTTGTTCTGTAGCTAATAATATTTCATCTAACTACACCCACAGTGGAATCTCTTTTGGAGCAACCAAAATTCATGCTCCCAAGCTCACCTTTGAAGTGAATACTGGTTTTGGTGGACACTGTAATACAGCAATAACTTCTCAGGACAGCCCCAAATTCTTCCTGAAATAGTAAGCTGGATCCAGACCTAGATAAAGGTATTTGGTAAATTGTATTGTTTTAAAATGCATGTTTAGGGTCAGCAAGATGGCTCAGCAATTAAGATACTTGCCACACCAGTCTGATGCCCGAGTTTGATCCTAGAAACCCATGTAAAAGTGTAAAAGAACAAACTCACTCCACAAATGTCTACCTTCACACACACACACACACACACACACACACACAATGACACACATGCCCATATAAGTTTTTGTTTTTTAACTCTGTGTTCAACGTGAATACCTGGCTACACACACCAAAAGAAGCCAGTCTTTAGAGACTGAAGAGCTAGCTCAGCAATTAGCAGCACAAGCATAAGGATTGCAGTTCAGATCCCAATACCCACATAAAAATCCAGGTGTGACCCCATGCATGCCTTTAATCCCAACACGGAGAGGGAAGGACACAGGAGGATCAACGGGACTTACTGAGTGACAATCTAGCCAAAAAGAAATGTGGGTCCAGGTACAGGGAGAGACCTAGCCTCAAAGTTACAGAGGACACCCAACTGTAACAACCCAGTATGTAATACATATATAAACTCACATAGGTACACACAGAGAAGATGTCTGCCATTAAAAAAAATACATGGCCCAAGTAACAAAATGATAGGAACAATGGCATATTTTCACTTATAAACAACAGAGCTCTCTTAGCACAGAGGTCTGATTTCCCATAAAGATGAGGCACTAGAATGTTCCATACAAATTTGCATGCATTAAATTTGCATCTTAGACCTGTTTGGGCAAAAAGCCTGGGAACCTTTTAGAAAGAGAGAACAGTAAGAGATAAAAAGCTGTGTTCTCACAGCTGCCTAAATCCCACCACTCGTAAGTCATTATTATATTTATTTCTTCCTGGTTTATTGGCTTCTTGTGTGAAAAAAGGGATCAGGCTGATACATCAATAAACATATTCCTGCTTTGTGCTACACACTGACCTAGGGCTGAAGTATTTAAACATATCTTTTGACAGAAGGGTTGGGTTGTATAAAAGGACAGGAAAGTTGCAATCTGCGTAAAACTTTCTTTTGTCTTAACTTTCTAACTAAATAAACATCATTTAGGCCTTCACACTGAAAGCCTAAGAAAACCCTATGCCACTCCAACTTCTTGAAAATAATCTAGGAACCTGAATCAGTCAGCCAGCACTGGAACAAAGTGATGGCTAGAACACAGGGCTGCTGTCAAAGTCTGGCAGGATCTTTAGTCTTCACAAAACTTTGCATCTTGAATCAAACTTTGAAATTCCAAGAGGGAAAATTATCAGCTGCCAACTCAGAACCTTAGTCTCCAAGGTTTTGAGAGCTTTTGTATTGTTTGGTTTTGTTTTCCTGCAAAGAACACCCATAAGCCATCAGACTATAACAAAAAGCTTTATTTTTTTTTTCTAATATAGAAATGGTTCTTAGAAAGCTGCATTTTGCATCCTCAGCCCTACTACACTGTCTGAAAAAAAATCTGTAATATCTTGTGCTCTATGTGTAATAAAGACTACAAGGAAAAACATTTGTTTCATTCTAAGAAACAGCTCATCTGAAATCAAAAGCTAAAATGTCACCAACTTCTGGAGACTGGGCCTGGAAACCCTCAGTCACAGTCGAGTTGACACCCTTCACCGAGAGCCTTTCACACAGACGAAGTAGAGCTGGGCCAGACACGGGATGTCTGAAAGTGCTGGGAGGATACTATGGGTTGACAGATGGCTGACAGGCCTAAAGTCCCAGAGTAAACCAGGATAGATTGCTCTTTTAGCCGTGCTAAGTGGGGTACAGAAATGGAAAAACGAAGAAAACCAGTACCTCTCATGTCCCATAGAGTCCTAGACAGGGTAACTTAACTAATTAAGTAGCTTTAATTTGGAAAAAGTTCAAGAAAGAAAATATTCTGGTCATTTTTGTCTAGCCAACTCTATGGACTCTACACCATTGTCACAGATACCAAGTCAGTGGGAAAGACACACACACACTCTCAGATAGAAAGAACTGGCCATGGTGTCACACATCTTTAATCCTATCATGCAGGAGGCAGGCAGATCTCTAGGACTTCAAGGCCAGCCACAGTTAAGTGGTAAGATCCTGTCTCACAAGCTTACACGCAAAGAACAAAACAACAAAACAGAGAATTGAAATATTCCTCATGTCTGAGGCTCACAAGTTAAAGTCCTTTAATAATACAAAGTAACTGAACACTAGAATGCTTTTTTTCAAGGTTATAAAAAAATGAATTACAAGTCTTTCATAAACCTAAAACCTAAATACTATATATATATATATAGTATTGCAAGCTTGTTTTAGCACTTGCACAGAAATCTGTAGAAGGGGAATTCATCCCAGTTCTTCACAATTTCTTTCTCCTCGTAGGAAGCCCTGAAATCCATACAATTTCCCAAATCAAGTAGAAAATAGCAGGAGAGAGCTTTCATTCAGCTGACTGACAGAGATGGATCCTCGGGATGCAGGCAGTGCTCGTCGCCAGGAGCCTCCCTGGGAGCAGGAGGTCCACTGAAATCCTTTGTGTGAGTCACTTCACTTGGACTCCTGCTCCTAAGCTCCAAACTTGCAGCTGACAACAGGCCAGTTTCTAAAGGGTCAAGAAAACATAACAATAAGATTCTAAAATACTTTGTTTAGGAACAACAGAATTGGGGGAGGATAGGCAGTGGATTCTGAAACCACAGGGTAATATTCTAGAGGTATAGATCCTGCTGAGATACTGTGTATGAGTGCGCACAGATGCACGCGCTAATCTCCAGCCTGGTTCCTCAGGAGCTCTGAAGCTAGGGAGTCTTTTTCTGAAGAGACATGATGCCCCGTCTAGCCCCTCAGCATCATGGTCAGCATCTGTACTCTGACCCCTCTTGGGACTAGTCAACCAGCTGACTCTTCTACTACTACATCCTCATCTCTCCCGGCCAAGGTTACTAAAAGAACTTATCCTCCCTCTAAGGTCCATAGCCACACCCAAGTGGCACCTAAGGGTCTCTACACAGTCAAGCCCCATTTTTCAGACCAGCCACAGATTCTGGTATATGTAACTAGGACAGTGTGGTGGAAGAAGCCTTATCCCGGAAGGAGGCCTAGTCACCTTCCCATCCCAAACAAAAGGGCAGGAGGAGGGGAGGCTGAGACTTCTCACCTGGCTGGTTGGTCCGACACACCTCTTCCCAGGTGTAGTTAGCAAGGTTCACAGGCTGTGTCACCCAGGGGTCTAGGATCAGCTCCTCTAAAGTGGTCCGCTGCTCAGGGGAAGGCTGCAGCAGCCCAGACAGAAGAGCCATAAGTTCTAAGGACATAAAGAACACAGGTGGAACCAAGCCAAGTCAAATGGAACACATCTCAGACTTCAGGGTGTCCTGCTTCACAGAACCTCTCACAAAGCAAGGAAGCAGCCTGGAGTCCTAGGGCTTGAGGGCCTGCCCTGGTATTGTCAGAGAATACCTTTATAAATCTATCACCTCCAAAATGGAAGCGTGGAAGTTGAGATCCAGCTCAATCAAACCTCAGGTGGTCTGATTTCAAGGTGTGCTGGCTAGTTTTATGTCAACTTGACACAAAATTTATTTGGACCAGACAATGGTAGCGCACACCCTTAATCCCAGCACTTGGGAGGCAGATGCTGGCAGATCTCTGAGTTTGAGGCCAGCCTATATAGTTCCAGAACAGGCTCCAATGCAACACAGACAAACCCTATCTCGAACCCTCCACCCCACCCCACCCCCACAACAACAACAACAACAAAGTTAACCGGGAAGAAAGAACTGCGATTGAGAAAATGCCACCACCAGATTGGCTTGTGGGACATTTTCTTGATTGAAGTGAGGGCTCAGATCACTGTAGATAGTGCCACCCGTGGGTTGGTGGTCCTGGGTGGTA